CGTGTGTAAACAAACATAAGGGACATGAGACCATAAATTGATAATATATGAGTTTTATTTCAAACGCAACGCCTGGCGGTGAACTTGTCTTACGTTCTAGGGGGTGGAAGAGGTGATAAGGGGGGTAGGGGTAGAGGGTGGAAGTGGTAGGGGGGGCTGCGCAAGCAGCAAAGCGAGCGTAAGCGAGCGTTTGATGCTTGTCAATATTATAAGAATATACTCCGTACGTTCTTCCCGTATGGATGTTATCAGTCAGCCAGCAAACAACACACTAAAAAGTCATGATTTACTTGCTGGAAGCCTGATGCATTTTCCCTCCGAGCGAGAATTTTAAGATAGGGGATTAAATGAGCTAGCAAAAAAAAAAGTTATATCCTCGTATGAATTGATATCTATAGCTTATTATATTTCACAGGTTCTCTGTTATGTTGTGAGAAACCTCAGAGAAATAGAGAGTTAATATAAACTCAATTTTTGAATGAGTTAGATATCTATATATTTCTACTAAACAGTTTCCAAAAAAATAAATGAAAAGCAGAGCTAACTGCCCAGAAGAAGGAAAAAATTGCCAATATTAAATATTATATATATTCCACTGGCAACATATTTGCCTCGTAATTGGTTTATTATCCGGTACCTCAGCAGCTGAAGCTCGAGAAAATTGCCAAATCCCCTTATTTTAGCCACATTAGCACTGAACCCCCCTGGTGGCCAGAAAATATATTGTACCGAGAAAAAGAAGTGAGGGCCATTGTAAGCTTACAGGTAACATTGTCAGCGGAGATCGCAAAAAAGATCGCAGCAGTTTGCGACCCTGCCTCTCTCCTCCCTCGCCTCGTATGCCTGTTCCGAAGCTGGAGGGTGATACAACCCCACCCACATCGATCTTTTCGGGAGTTCTCTTTCTTAACCTCAGTATGCTAAATTGTGAAAAGCTCCCTGACAGCCTAGTTTTGGGAAATCTAGTGTTGAATGCACTTGTGTTGTGTTGAAGGTTCAGTTCTGTTGAAAAGATGGTGTGTATGTATATGTGTGCATTTGAACCAGCTTCGCAAAAGAAATCTGGATTTGATATCGCTAGGGGTGAATGCATCAAAGGGATACGGTGTTTTTATTAAGCTGGCGGCATCACACTTCTCAATCACGGAGGGGGTTTTGTTGAAATCGGGGTTTCAACCAGTTCGAATTTGAAAGGATTGTACGAGCAGGTCTCATTTGCTGTCAGGACCGGCTGCTGGGGGCCAGTCAAAACTGAAATCACAGAGAAACACGTATATTCCGTCCTCTAGTTGGATTCGTGATGAGTTATCAATGCCGTCTTATCAACGAAACATGACATCCCTTCGCGGAACGAAGAAGAATGTCCCGGGTGGGAGGATAATGTGGTAATAACATCAAACGCCGTTCGCATAGTTATATCACAAAGGCTGCATCCAAGCCGTGTCCTGGAAATAATCCGACATGCCCGGCTCATGCAGATATAGTTCACGCCACTCGTCTTCCATGTCCGTCAGGTCTTCCATCACAATTGGCCTAACTTGCTCGGAGTCACCGAATGAAAAGAGTTGCCGCCAATCCGCTGGCCCACCGGGTTCATTCGTCGTCTGATTTGCTACTTCGATGTGGTCGACGACGGCAGGTTGCTGAGCTGGCGCAGTTGTAGGAGAAGCTTTGATGACACGGTCCTCGAACGGAGGCTCAGTGGGTGTCCAGACAGTATTGTTGAGATGTGATGGGGCTGGTGGTTGATCCGTGTCTGGACTGGTTTGCTCAGAGTAATTTTGTTGGTGATCTGTGTCAGGGCTTGGGTGTTCGGAGTATTTGCGGTGCTGGTGATGGTGATCCGCATCCCTCGATTTGTAGGTGGAGTCTCGTATCTTGACATCCTGGATGTCACGCTGCAGGCGTTTTGAACTCTCAAATAGGCGTAGGATTGTTTCCGCATTGAGCCAGTATTCCGCGTGAATGCGAAGGGAGGCGAGCGTTGAATCAAATCGACGAAGGCCATTGATGGCCAATACAGGGTTTGAAAATCGAAGTTCCACCCGTACTTGAATCATTGCTGTGAATAGGGCATTGACTGATGAAATCCACAAATACTTGAGCCGATCCTTCCCTCTAAGATCCTCAAAGATAGAGACAATTACGCCAGCAGCTGCACTGCATATTTCAGCATCATTGGGGCCGTAATCATCTGAATATGCCGAAGCCCGAGGGTGAGGGCGGTGAAGCAAAATTAGGAAATTATTATAGGTCAGATGGAGCAAAGCCGGCCACGAACCGGAGTCTGCGGTTGACATCCGAACTGAATCTGGGAGCATTAGCGACCAATTCGCGAGTGCTCTATCTGCCTCATTAAGAACAGCCTTTCGCCGTTCGGGACTAACTCGTAGCCCAAATCTTTCTTTCATGATGAATGATATCATAGTGCAAAGCTCGGTATAGTGTATCACATAATCAATTTGAACCCGGCTTCCGCAATCTTCGAAATCTGCCGCAGTAAGAGGCTCAACATCGGAATCTTCTAAGTTGCTGTTGCGTCGTTTGCCCTGGTTAGCTACCCATTCCCCCCCATATCGATAAACCTGAAGGGTACGAGGGGAAATTGAGAACGTACACAGCCTGTGGTCTTCCATATAACAATGATATCATGACGTCGAACTGAACTAAAATCCACCAAACCCTTCGCCACATGCGCTTATCGGTCGATACCATCCTGCTAGAGCCTGCATTGCGGTGCATTCCCAGACCTGTTGCGATTCTAGCCGCTACCCCAACCCAGTAGTGAGAGTTCGCGGAGACGTCATCGTCAACAGGATCGGAGTACCAGGTAAGTAGAAGAGCTGCTTGTACGAGAATATCCCTATTCCGTTCGACACGCGCGTCGAATAGTATCTTAGCCCGGCGGAAAAATGCTGTCTTGAGAGAATCACGCTGCGGCCGTGGACGAGACACATGGGCACCAACAACGAGGATGGCCTGAAGAAGTAATAGCGAAGGAGGATCTGAAGGATCTCGACCTTTGTATTGTGCCATAAATACGTCCTCGTCGATTATAGGACAGCCAGGGTTGACGTGGGTGAAGTATGCATCCACCAATTCATCTGCAAGCTGCTGGTCGGGAAGGACAAAGGTCTCTCGAGGAATATGCTCCAGGCTATTCTTCATACAGTGCTTCGAGATTTCATTTGCTGGGAAATGATAAACCTGATCATTTCGGTCGCTGTGCTGTTGTCGAAACAGAAAGTTTATGTTGGATACATCTTGGCCAACGTATATAACTCTGACGCCCGGCTTTATGGAACGGTGGTGGTCTTCCTCATCCAGAATTTGGACTAGGCGTCTCTCAAGCTGACGGGTGTCATCTTCATCGCCGTGTGAGTCATGAGTAAACCCTTCTAGAAACGGCTGTGGTACTAGAGGGTTTATGTCAGGCCCACTTAGTTTTGATGAAGGGACGTTCGATGAGGTTGGGGATGCAGACTGCGGTTGCTTGCTTAAGGGAGGGTTTGAAGCCGCGCTGGTAGCTGCACTATTCGTAGGTAAAGGGGCACATCGAATAGGAATCGGATGTCGAAGGGATCGAGAGAGCGTCCGTTTCTTCTTCTCGTGAATGCGGCAATCGCTCTTCCCCGACGAACGGCAATTGGAGCAGGGTATTCCATTCCGCGCATCGCAGCGGACTTTCCTTTGGTGGCAATGGACACAAGCAGCGGGGCCTAAGTAAGGTGTGTCAGTTGGGATAATATAAAAGTAACCTTAGGAAGAAGATACACAGTATGGAAGACCCGGCGTCGGAAGAAGCGCCGTTCGGTGTTCTGAACGAATAGGAGATTGATGTGAAGGCAATAAAGGGGGACCGTTTCCCACTTACGCTTCCGCTTCAGCGCCCCCTCAGCAGCAGCTTGTGGTTTGTCGTCGTTAGATGACATGATGGGAACACGTGCAATGGCTCAGCTTCCCCCCCAGGATATTATATACCCTCCCAGTTGTCAAGATTTATTCAACCAGTCCTTTCCATCGTAACTAACATTGCGAGGGGAAAGGAAATGACACAAAAATAAATGATTATTGCTCCAGCAGCAGATTCCAGGCTTCCCAGCCTGGAGTAACTAAGCGTCTCACGTGGACCCCGGCTGATGATTATTAAAAGCTGGCTTGGAGTCGCAAGGCGTGGAGCGGGCTGGATCTTATCCACCCCCGGCCTCACTTTAGTCCGGTGCGACTGCTGCCAGCAGGGTCCTAGTGATTCCCGCGGCTAAAGCTAACTAACGGTGGGGAACTCTGGGGAGAAGGAAATAAGAAGCACATGGCTGGTGGCAGAAGTATGGAGGTGCATTGGAGAAGAGAACATCACGACTGCTACTTGCTACTACTACTACTGCTAACTGCGTCAGTCGCAGGCTCGCAGGCAGGGACAAGGAACGTCAACAATTAGATTGCCTTTTCATGTTTCACAGAGCCAGGTCTGGCCAGTTCTGGTTGGCCCGGATCCAGAGTCTAGCCTTGAACAAGCATTGTTCAGACCGAGCTTGGAGAGTGTGTGCCTGGACCTTAAAAAAATACATACATATATAAACATTATTATTCTTCCCAGCTTGCTCTTCCTCTATTTGATGAGCCTCTAGGCCCATCAGGAATAATAATATATTCTAAAGAATTTAATGTCCTCTCTGACCACCTGTAGCCCGGTGCGTACTGTACTGTGGCTGGACTAGGGAAGGTGAAGAAGATCCAGATCTACCGAAAATGGCCATGCCCAACCTTTTCTAAGCGGCCCGTGTTCCCTTCTAAATCAGTTCAGCTCTGTCACATTATTATTGACGCTTTCTTCAACTCTTCATCCTGCACTTTACTCGGATACGCGCGCACTGGCGGGGTGGGGGAGGAGGATTTGGGTTACTATGGGTATTTTATAATATTATTATTATTTGCCTCCCACTCCGCCCTCCTCCACAGCTTCAGAACAAAACCCCAGCCAATTAAATTATTCTTTCTCCCCCCACCCAGCCAAACCCCAGAGCGGGTTCCAAATGAGCTCAACACATGTGGACGCAGCCCAGACTGAAACACTCCGCAGCGTACATCGCCAACAACCGTCTGCTGATCTGTTTAAGTCGCCTCGTGCAGGAGGGAAAATTTTTTTTTTTTTTTTTTTTTTTTTTTTTTTTTTTTTTTTTGTTGTTGTTGTTCCATGCAAGCCGCCCCCATGTGCTATGCTATGACCCAAACTAAAAGGGAAAAAAAGAAATCAAAAAAAGAGAATTGCTTTTGTAGTTTGATCATTTTACGCTATCTGTGGCCAATGTGGCCTTGTTTCCTCGTATCTTCCACGAAAAGCATTCCGTTGGAATACTGGTTGACTCATGGGGCAGGCTCGGACTATTATTAATTGAAACTCATTAGGCGCATGGAAAGGCCCCTCCATCCCTCTCGTGATGGTGGGTGGGTGTGTATGCCCGCCCTCCGAGGTTAGCCATGAAATCCATCCCGAATCGATGATCGGGAGTGGAGGTGACTTGCGAATTCTACTAATATTTTGTAACTAGTTACCGTACGCTATTACGCATATGTTCAACGTCGTTCAACAACCAATTGGAAAAGGCGGTAGGCTTTGAGCTAAACTTTATTCGGTGCACTTAAATTAAAAACGCTGCCGCTTAACCCTCAAGCCAATTCCCAATCTGGATTAGCAGAGGTTAGGTGTGAGTCAATAAAAGTTAATGGTTGGGATTAATCAGATATGATTCGGAGGATTAGGGACCGGGGTTAGTTATCAGATCAGGGAGGATAGGAAAGGCACTAGCAAATGGTCATTGGCCAATGCAAAATGTGCCGAACAGTACTCCGTACGGAGTAAGCTGTTAAGGGCCTGTTCGGTGCGTCCGTACTTTTTGAACGCAATAGTGGATCTCATTAAAAATAGTATATTTACCAATTATTAGTAGCAAGCCGGCGTTGTGGGATGGAGAAAGGAAGCTCACAAAAACACCTTCTTTTTGAATGGAGTCCAGAGTCAGTTCAAAAAGAATGTGTTTTTGTGAGCTTCCTTCTAATCAATATTAGTTAACTATCTCCACTATGAATGCTATTCTACACTATATTGCCTCTAAAAGTGCTATTCTACATCATCATACACTGTTGAAGTTAAATACTGCTTATTCATAAGATCTTGACAAGAGATGCAAGTACAGCTGCTCAATCCACCAAACACCTGGCCATTTTCATCTGTACTTTGTAAAAAGCAGCTGTATTATTAGTACAGATGCTCTTTAAAAAAAGTGGAGATCGTACAAAAAGAACGAGTACACACGGACGCACCGAACAGGCCCTAAAGTTAGTTAAGTTATCCAGCCGAAAATTGGGCCCATGACCTTGCGCCGCTTGCTTGCCTGCTGCAGGGTTGGTTTGGCTCGGCTGTTGCCAACCCTCCCTGGTCGCTTTTTGGAGATTTCTTTTTATATACGGAGTAGATTCGTAATAAATAATATATAACTTAGCTCTCTCAGTCCTCAATCATGATTCACACTTCCATCCACAACGTTATATATAGGCTTTGAACATAACTAAAGCTTAGTTTCTTAGCGGAATCCCAGTTCCGCGAAAAAGCTCCCCCCCACTTCCCACCAAAACTTTTTCCACCCATATCCGTCCCCGCCCCCTCACCAGGAACGAAGAAGAAAACCTCGCATTGCCCACACCATAGTTCTTTTTGCTCACTAGACCCTATTCCCCATAAGTCAACAAAACAAGTAAAAAATAAACAATAAAAAAGAAAAAAAGAAAAGACCTCAAAGACCAACTCATTCCCACTGAGGCAAATTTCCCCCATCCCTCACCAGGAACGGCCCCGATTGACACCGAGATCCAAAGCAACCATGTCTCCCCCAGCTGCAACTGACTCTCATGCTCTGAAAAATGGAACCCCAGCCGAGCAATTGACAGTCGACGGCGTGCCCACCCTGCGGGCTAAGGGTGAGATGCCAACTGGCGTCGCCGCTTTTTCCAGTAGTGATATGTTTAAGAGTGCTGTGAGTCAAAACCTTTTTTTTTTTTTCTATCTACTTCGTAAATTGAGGGTGGTCCCAATGGAAGAAGAATTTTTGGGAATTTTGCCCACTCCCAAAATAGTTCCAGGCGGAAGAAAGGCTTTCAAAAGCTAGATGAATTGAAAACTATGATAGTTAGAAACAAATGAGAAATTCTCATCCACTAATGCCTGGGAAATTTATTTCCTGTTTTTTTTTTTTTTAGGCGTGCTTCGCTAAACCGAAAGCGAAACGCTTCGATCGTGAGTTTGTGTTATATATTGTCCGCCGGCCCCCAGTGCAGTTGAGTGTCCTCTTTATAGGATTAACATGATGTTGTTTTATTCTACATGTAGATCTTCTATCCACTGAAAGCAAAGCTCGAAAGGTAAGCTTGATGCAGCCCTGTTGTTTGGAACTGCGATGACGTCGCATGCATGATCTTAAATATTTACCTTGGGAACGGGGAATAGGGCTCGTCATTGAAACAAGCTGCTCAATATCTCAAGACACCCGGTATGGTCACTCGAATAAAGTCCACTTTGTTATACACCCCCCCTTCCAAACCATTGAAAAGAAGAGTGAATTCAATATCTAATATCTACAATCTAGGCCTGATCTCGTTGGGTGGCGGTCTTCCATCATGCGAATATTTCCCCTTCGAATCCATCTCCATGAAAGTTCCCACCCCGCCGCATTTCTCAGAAGAGGATACGGTTAAGACGGGAAAGGTTGTGACTGCTGGGAAATACGATATACGGGATGGGAAGAGCGAATATGGTATGTCTTTGAAAACCCCTTTCGCCGTTCCCCATTCCTTCGTCCGGGCCCTGTGACGCCCGAGAAGGTGATCGCAGGGGACTCCCACGGAACGCCCATATAGATAAATCCGCCCCCATTGGCGTGGTTCCTCGACTGACCTTTGGTTTTTCTCTTTTTCTCTTCTTCTTCTTTAAAGATTTGGAGATAGCTCTGAACTACGGCCAGTCAAATGGCGCAGCCCAGATGTTACGTTTTGTAACTGAACATACGGAGGTAGGAAATGCGTCAGACCTCAAAGGGATGGATGTAAATCGGTACACGCAAGAAGCTAAATCCAATGATAGATAGTCCATAACCCTCCATACGCCGACTGGCACTGCTGTCTCTCCGCCGGAAGCACGTCAGCTTGGGACATGGCATTGCGCATGTTCTGTGAGCGGGGGGACTACATCATCACGGAAGAGTATACATTTGCGACAGCTCTAGAGGCAGCAGCACCCTTGGGCATCCGCGCAGCCGCTGCCAAGATGGATGACCAAGGCCTCCTTCCCGAATCACTCGACGAGCTGATGACCGGCTGGGACGAGGCCGCAAGGGGCGCCCGCAAGCCTCACCTCCTCTACATCATTCCCTCCGGTCAGAACCCGACCGGCTCCACCCACAGCGCCGAGCGGAGAAAGGAAGTCTACAAGATTGCGCAGAAACATGATATTTTCATCGTTGAGGACGAGCCGTACTATTTCCTGCAAATGCAGCCGTATAAGGGGGCGGGGACCCCGCCTGACCCGCCGCCTGCTAACCATGAGGAGTTTTTGAAGACTCTGATCCCATCCTATTTGAGCATCGATGTTGACGGGCGCGTCTTGCGGCTGGAATCGTTCTCTAAAGTCATCTCCCCCGGGTCAAGAACGGGGTGGGTTGTCGGCTCGGAACAGATTGTCGAGCGCTATAATCGACATTCCGAGGTGTCCACGCAGAACCCCAGCGGCATGGCGCAGATAATCCTCTTCAAGCTCCTGGATGAGAGCTGGGGGCATAAAGGGTATCTTGATTGGTTGATCAACATCCGAATGGCGTATACTGCTCGGAGGAATAGTATGCTGGAGGCGTGCGAGAAGTATCTTCCGAAAAGTGTGGCGAGTTGGAATCCCCCCGCTGCTGGGATGTTTGTAAGTTCAAGTTGTCTCTCAAACTACCCACCCCCCGGCCCTCCCCCATTATAAAGAGTTGTAGTATGGTAATAACTAACAGTGATTCCTACCTTCCTTTGTTTCCAAATAGCATTGGATCAAGGTAGACTGGCACAAGCACCCGGGTGCTCGCGAAGGCAAAGACCACGCCGCCATCGAGCACTCCATCTTCAAAGCTACCATCGCGGAAGGGGCGCTTGTCTCTGCCGGCAGCTGGTTTGTAGCAGATCGCTCTATTCCGGAGACGGACATGTTCTTCCGGGCTACCTATGCTGCGGCTCCTAGCGACAAGATCGAGGAAGCCATCAAGCGGTTCGGTATCGCGTTGAGGGCTGAGTTTAAGTTGGAATAAATTGGCCTTGTCTGGTTCCTCGGGATTTGATGAAGCGCGAGGATGAGGATCTAGGTTGACTATTTTTTATTTTTTTTTCCAGCTTATTCGTTCATAGAAAGCGCCTGTAGAGGATGCATTTGGCATTTTTTAACGGTTTGGAATAGGATACTACCCTTATCTAGACAATATGTCATGAATTATTTAAAATGGTAGTAAGCATCTGATTCTCTATCATATCATTCCCAATTACTCTTCTCATATCGTTGAACAACAGATAATTCCATGTGTGGTCTATTCGCAATTCACTCCACCTGAAGCATCTTAGAAAAAGAAAATTCTTCTCCTTCCAGTAGTTAACTTGGCTAGAAAGTAATTCCATCCTTTCAGTGTAGAAACTAAATATATACATACATACTCGCTAAGAGTTTAAGGATTCTAAGATTAAAAGAAAGAACAAAAATCCCACTCTAACCCTCATCCCATTCAAATTGTCATCATACACACATCCCCTTGCAACGAGAAAAAAGCCATAAACTTATCCTCACCAAGCTCCCTCCTCCCTTCCCCGCCCTTCACCATCTCCACCCCTCCTCACGCACCAGTCCGCTTCCCCCCCTCCCCTCCTTACCCAAACTAGTACCATCCCGCACCGTCCCGCCTAGTCCCTTCACTGTATCGCCCACGCCCTCAGTTACACCTCCCGCCGTACTTCCCAGCCCCTTCCCAGCCGCCCCGACGGTCTCACCGGCTGTATTCAGGGTGCCGCCTACTAAGTCCTCCGGCGGTTTTAGTCACGCCGCCCAGGACACCGCCGCCACTGCCATTATTGGTGGCTTGTTGGTTTTGGGTGGAGGATTGGATTGGGGTTGGGTGCGGTCAGTCATTTTGGGCAGAATGTGAGAGAGAGTGGGTGTGTCGTTTTAGGTAGAATATGAGGAGATATATATAAGATATATAAACTTCGTTTAGATGAAGGATTCAGTTAATTAGCCAGCTGATAACCATGATGGACAAGCTGCAGAAATCATGTTTCTTCTACATCATGAAGTTTGATAATGAGTGATGCCCAGTTCAATTATTGTTGTGGTGATAAAGAGTACATTCAAAGAGTGACATATTTCATTTCCATTGCCCATTTGCAGGCTCACCAAATAGATAACAATTGGGACTACTTTTGCAGCTGGTCTCGTATCCAACTGGCAACATGGCAACATGAAGGTTGTAGAGCGACCGGCAGCATTGACGCTAACCGAAGCTGGGAACCAAAGAGACGACCTGGGACTAACCAAATCAGGGCAATTGCCCCGGACCGGATGAGGAATCCTAGATCGGATTAACTGAGGGCCGATGATCTGGCCTGATATCTCGGGCGTTAAAAAGGGGGGGGGCGGCGGGAACGGGGAAGCACGAACAACACATATTTGTTCAGATATTTTCTCCATTTTCTCCATATGGGTGGATTTTCCCCGTCAATTCCAGACGCGGGTTAACTTAAGTTAGGCGGAAGGAGGAGTTGTATTTAATTTTTAATTTTTTTAATTTTTAATTTCTTTTTTAATTTTTTTTTTTTTTTATATATATTCCCATCTCACTTTTTTGGAAATTTTTTCCTCCTTTGCTTCTCAATCTGGTAAGTTTGATATTCCGCATTACTACTGTTTAGTACGCAAATGTACTCACTCATATTCATATTTCAAGACTCTTTGTAAATCTTGTGGACTGTGTTCCCTGGCTTTGTAAGTATGCTGGCAAATTCAGCATACTTTTCTCATATTCTCTCTCTCATATTATACCCGGCAGTCATTAGGCCCACGCTGGTTTGTAGAGTTTCAAAGTTTGTGCTCTTCACTAACTGTTCCAGCGTTATCAGATCTCCTCCAGATATTGGGCTATCATATATCTCTTATTCCATTACCTCCTAAACCAGAGATTAGTGCTATTGTACCTGGAATCTAATCCCTTACCTAGGTATTCTCTCCGTGTCCCTAGGTGGAGTAGAGACAGTTTGTCTGTCTTTGTACTGCTTGTTTATTGCTCCTTGACCTGCCCACCAGAGGAGCATTTTGCTACAAGTAAAACAAAGAGTATCCTGCATGCACGACTAGATAAATCCAGTTCACAGTTATCAACTGTTTTTAGACTAGTTTTCTCGGCAGGAGGCAAGGGATAACATATAAATAACTCCGTCTTGGTAGTTCTATCTTCTTCATCCTGACATGACACCTGTGCAGAGTGCAATCTAGCCTGTTGGGAAGCTCCTGACACTACTACCAGTCTGCTGTCTGAACATAGGTAAATGTCCATTCCCCGTTTTTCTTGGGCATGCTTTCAACTGTATTGAATAGCTGTTTCAGAGAGTACAAAATTTAATTGTAATGGGAATTGCTAACGAGAATGGCTGAGAAGAAGCTGGAGCTCAAAGTTGACCGTAAAGGACGAGCGTACATAAACTGCGGTGCTTGAGCCAGGAGAAACTCGCGGAGATACTGCTCACCTGGGTAGATAGCTTCATCTGCCAGAACAGAGCTCAACTCCGGCGTCCCCGTAAGTGTTGTTTATTTACTTCCTCCCCCCCAACCCCCTTTTCAGTCTTCCATCCTCCTCCCACTTGCCCTCATCAAGCACTCATGAAGCCCATTTCTCATGGCCATTTCTCATTGTGTGCATGATTTCCTACACTCGTCTTGTCCTATATCGGGTTGCTCACTAGAATGGCGCCTCCAATTAGCCGTGAGAGGCGAAATGCCTGCTACGGGTTCGACTTTGCCCCTGTCTTGTTCCTTGCATTTTTCACCATTTTCCTCCTCTTGTGTGTCAATCAACGAACTGACGTGTCTACTGCGTTTAGCGATCAATTCCAGCCTATTCTTACACGCGGATTAAACAGCAGCCAACGCGATATCCGCGCCGCAAGCGCATATTTTCATCCCGACGCTGTCAATCAATCGGGTGTCACTGACTCATCAAAGAGTTCAGACGTTTCTAGCGTTTATCCAGAGCAGTTTGAGTCCTCGCAGCCGCAACTTGGAGAGGGTTTAGCTCGTTCGAGATCTGATTCATCAGGCTCCTGGGAAGACGATATAGTCCCTGAGACTGAATATTTTGAAGGAGACGATCCTGAACCTAGAACTGACGTCTCAAACAACTATCAGCAGCCTTCTGGTCCAGCTTTTTCTGACGAACATATCGATTCCGTTCTAGGTCTTTGGGAACGAAGATCACAAAGGTAGGATATAGAACTTTATATTCGCCTGAACTGGCCTGATAAATTATAAGCTGACTTAGTTTTCAAACCTTAGTCCCACACAAAGCCATATCTCGTCTGCTGTTGAGACATTTCCATCATTTGATTCGAGATCAAATCACCAGGGACTTTACGAAGCAAACTTACGCGGTAATAAGTTACCGTCTTTCGGCACTGGTCCCACTTCATCTTTTTCTTCCGGTGCCCCTAAAACACCGCAAAGGCCTCCATCTTCCTCAGATACACTCCATCTATCTGATTATTCTGCTAGCCCTCCAGCCTCGCACGCCAACTTTTCGAATTCGTCAACTTTATTCCGGCATCGGGCTCTATCTCAGCAAGCTGCCTATGGTTGTCCTCAACTTACTAGCCCGTCATTTGAAGACCAGCATAATCCATCTCCAGACGTATATAAAATCTCCTTTGATACCCCACCCCAGTCAAAGTCATTTAGAAGGAGACCTTTCCTAGATTTCTCTTCGCCTCATCAATCATTTAGCTCAGAAAATCAGCCTCCCGAACGGCCGTGTGACCTTCCAGGCCCGGATAAACGTCGCAAGTCAAAGCCAAAAAGTAATCGAGGAAAAACCCCTTTACCAAGCCCGCACGATTTCGCAACATTCAACAAAAGGAATCGTTTTGATCCGTTGAGCTTTATCCCGGGAAAAGAAAGTAGAAATAGCAGTCTACCAGGGAGCACTCCTGCTTCATCATCATCAGCTTTCAGCCCACCGTATGAGAAGTTTCCCGATTGTCCTAAAGGCCATTCAAGTGCCCAACCCAGCGATACTACCGACAACCGCGATCCCATCGAAAAATACTCTGTCCCATATTCAGAGTTACCTCTCCAGTCAGCCTCAGTAAAGAGAAAGCCTAGGCGAAGCCTACGTCTTGCTCTGTCCCTGAAAAAGATTCTCACCCCAAAGCACAAGACCGCCAGCAAAGACGAGCCTACCTCCCCTCCGCTGCCAACCCAGGCGAGCAAATCTACTACTGACGCCGAAGAAGCGTGGTTTGAAGGGGTTATTAAACAACTACAGGAGGATTGCGCAGAGCAAGAAAGGTACCGTGACGCTATGGATTCACGACATCTTGATCCGTCATCAGCCATGGTGGCCCTCACCAAACAGAAGGCCGAAGCCATGCGATTAGCACGGGAACAAGGCGCTGCTGTCAAGGAAATGTGTCGAAGAGCAAAAACAGAAATGCCCCCGTATCAATTTGAGGAGCTCATTGGAAAAGGGGCTTATGGAAGAGTGTATAAAGGGTCTGTGATCCTGCTTAGTTTTGACCGACTCTTTTCGTCTATCTGCATTTTAGTTCTTTGAATTTAGTTCTACTAACCATGCTTATTTGAGATACAGTCGCCAACTTTCAACACAGAAACTCGTCGCAATCAAGGTGCTAGAAATAGATACGCTGGATTATAAAACAGTGCGGGATTTTAGAGACGAGTCTATCAAAGACTTTATACGCGAAACGAATATCATGAAGCAGGTCAAGGATGCTGGGGCGAAGAATATCAACATGCTTATTGAAGCTTTCTCAATTCATTCCCAGCTTTGGCTTATCTGCGAGCATTGCCCAGGTGGAAGCGTCAAGACTCTTGTACGTGCTTGATCTTTCTCCCCCCCCCTCCCGCACTCTCTCTTTTTCTCTCATCCCATTTTCCATTAAGTTCCCATGAATCGGGTTTAATCTGTAATGCCAGGGCTGATCTTTGGGCCTGAGTACTAATGGACGCATATTAGATGCGAGCAACTGGTGATAAGCTAGAGGAACGATTCATAATTCCAATTGCAAGGGAGCTAGCGGAAGGTCTCAGGGCCATTCATGACGCTGGCATTATTCACCGTGATGTCAAAGGTTTGGACAGAGTCTTCTTTATGTCGTCCAGTACAGCACTGTCAAACTAATGATTGTGTTCGCAGCTGCCAATGTCTTGATTCACGAGGAAGGCCATTTACAGATCTGTGACTTCGGAGTCGCTGGTGTCCTCCAGAGCAAGGTAGACAAGCGCTCCACCTGGATTGGGACTCCACACTGGATGCCGCCTGAGATGTTTCCGAACAGGGCAGGGCCCGAGACGCATCAATACGGAAGCGAGGTGAGTTGGTCTTACTAGGCTGGTTTTGGATTACTCAGGCTAATATTAACTTGACTAGATCGATGTTTGGGCATACGGATGCACCCTATTTGAGTGTGCTACTGGCAATCCGCCAAATGCAACCCTAAGAGAGCGGATGCAAATTGGGCGTCAACTTAACAGATTCCCGCCAAAGCTGGAGGGAGATAGATTTTCAGACAGCCTGCGCTCATTAGTGGCATTTTCACTCGATTCTGATCCAAAAGTGCGCCCTACTATGCAAAGTATCCTTCAACACCCTTACATCGCTAACTCTACGGAATCCCACCCAACCTCTTCCCTGAGCGAACTGGTGAAGATATATTACCAATGGGCTCAATGTGGTGGTCAAAGAATATCGCTATTCAACCCCGGAGGCGCTGCTGCTGCCGAGTTTCCGGAGGGAGACACTTTAGATCGCGAGGACTGGAATTTCAGTACGACGGATGGATTTGAACGGCGATTCTCCCTGATAGACCTGGATCAACTTTCGGCATCGTTAGCAGATCTCGAGAATGAGATGGTACCCACCGTACCCGAGCCGTCTAGCGACTACTTTGACGAGAATAAGGATACCGAGTTGAGTGCACAGGATAAAGCCAACTTCGACGAGCGGGTCAAAAGAGGCGCTGCGGCAATGGAAGGTCTTTTTAACGAAGACAAACCGGGTTATAAATATGAGACCAAGAATGACTTTGTCCCCGTTCAGTCAGAGCAGCGATTCTCCTCTGATCTCCCTCTCCGAACAGACACTGACAGATCCTCGGTTACGTCTACTTTCATTGACATCAACCTTGGAGTCTTCGACTCTGCGCATTACGCAGCAGGCTCAGCATCCAACCATCCTCCATTCCAACTTGCTGATGCAGATACAATCCGTGCAAACCGGTCCAGCAGCAGACTCATGCGGAATTCAACTACAAGCAGTGACTCTGGTGAATACCAACCACAGCGCGGGCCCCGACCCCCAACCATGGAATGGACTTTTCCCTCCAGTATGGCAACTGGCACAGATGCCTCCAGCCACGACGACGAGCCTGGCCCGGACATTGAACAACCACATGAAGAGAAGCGGGATACCCGAGCATGGACTTTCCCAATCATGACCGCAGAAGAGGAAGCTCCGCACGAAGAGCCCAACGAATGGGCTGATGGTGGGAACGCTTCATCGCGCCGTATCGAACCCGATGACGAAATGACAATGAAATACCCCCCGCTCCGGTGCCCAGCATACTCACAGCCTCCTGCTGACGGGCCGCCCGACTCTCGACCCTCAACCGCAACATCCACCCAGTCAACTATGTCAGACGCGGATAACGATCCCTTCCGATTCGACAGACCTGTCACCCCTCCGGGTGAGGGCGAGGATGTGGTTGTTGATGATCTGCAGAATGCCTTTTACACCACGTCCTCCTTAGATCCGTTCCCCTCGATCACCGACTCCGCCATTTACACGGACTTCGACGAAGGCACGCACCGCTCGATACACAGCTACTCGGAACTCCATGGCCCGTACCATGAAGACAACATAGCTAGTGGTGAGAGCGCGCTTGAGGGCCCCGGGGGCCAGGGTGGTAGGGCAGAAGGTGCTGATGCTCACGCCAATGGGCACGGTGGCGGCACTGGTGTTGGTGACGACGATGATAATGAAACAGAAAGGAAATCTGTTATAGAGTCGAACATGGCGCATTTGTCTTTCCCAATGCCTGTTCCTCCGAGCACGGAGAGTCTGATGCAGGGCGCGAGTGATGACGTTGTTGAGCGGGAGCTAGATCGGCTTTTGGAAGATTTCCTGGACGGTCTGGCGGTTACTGGAGAGGCGCTTGTGAGGACGGATGTAGGGAGGGGTAGACGGGGTGATGCTGGCTACAGTAGCGATGGGAGCTTTAGGGGCAGTCGAGCAGAGCAGGGGCAGGAATCGGAGATGGATGATTGAGGTGATGATGGTTGGTGCGATTTTTACCGAACATGAATCTTGCGGCAATGGTTTTTCTTCTACTTGAAATATTTTCGCTTTGTGGTCTCAATTTGTTCTGATTTTCTACGATTTGATGGGATACCGCCTGGGCTTACCTTACGAGGAAGGGCGTGATTGCTTCATCGAGCCAACAATGGCGTTTTCAATATGTGCAGGATGTTTATGTGCAGGATGTTTATGTGCAGGATGTTTACGTTCGTCAGTTGATTGTTAGGGATGGATGGACAATGTGGGATGTTTTATTTTTCAGTGTATTTCAATTCAGGGAAGAACTGTCTGTCTCTTTTGCGCTAGTTTGATGATTTTGAGCCTACCTACCTGCGAGATGGGATATGGCGTACGGAGCACATCGGATTGAGACAAGCTTGAAATGGGAAATCAATAAAAGTGAGAGGGAACAGGAAAAAAGGAAAAAGGAAAGGAACGAAGAGATAACTAGGAGTTAGTAGTATATTTTAGATGCAGGAATACCAATTGTCTACCTTTACAAACAAGTATGGATTATTGCTTAGTATATTGAGTCCACTAGAGTTATAACACCACCCAGGACCCCCCCGTATAACCTCCAGATATTCGATCGATGATGCGTCGAGTCGGTGTTGGGCGCGGGGCACCGCTGATCAAGCTTGGCAAACAGATAAGAACCTACGCGTTCTATCTCATACCTCTTTGATCCTGTCCCCGATCAACAGCCAGGATCGAGCGAGTTTGCAGCAGCAAGAGAAACCCATCGAATTTCTCTTTAACAGCCATTTATGCCAAGTGATTGTACGGTAACTACTTAGGTAGGCGGTTAAATGCTGTGAGACAGGTTTAGCATGTTCATTTAAATAGTATTCTCTCACATCATAAGGTATCCTACTCATCCCCACTCGATCATTCTTCAGTCTATCAACATATATACTCACTTCACTCCCCAGAGGAATCTTTATGGAGCATAAACCATATTTCTGTGCCACCTCATGTGGTCCCTTTCAGACACACGCTCTCCTATGTATCTTCTCTCTCCCTCTCCACATGCAGGAGTAGAGGAGTCACTCCGTTGTCGCATGCAGCCCATGCACCTGCGCCGTGTACCCTGTGGTTGTCCATGTCCACTGATGCGGCATGGGGAGGCTACCTGCATATACAGGTTAATGCATGCGTACTCCGGAGTAAGAGAGCTATTTCCTTCTTGTTTGCATGGTCAGATACGGCGAGGTCCGCCTCCTAGCGGCCAGGGCAAATGGGAGATTCTTTTTTTATCTTTTTTTCTTTCTTTTTCCTTTCTTTTTCTTTTTCTTTTTCCCTTTGCTTCCTTTTTGGAATGTTTCATTATCCTCAATCGGTTGCCACCCGGAGATATTGCATTCACTCTGTGTCTCTCTCTAGTTGGTTATACGTTGTATTAAACGGTATATATATCCCTTCCTATATCAGAGTTGTGTTTGTCGTGTTATGAGTTTATTGCCAAAATACCACGGATAAATTCTTCTCTCTCGCTCTCTCTCTCTCATTTTCATTTTCTGTTTGTTTTTATTCCTAGTTTGAGAATGGAAAACCGGTTCTTTAAGACTTCTTTATTATTTATACTTTGGTTCCTTGCATATTCAGGGCAAAAAGAAGTGTACCAAACTTTTGCTTGCGGGTGCATGGAAATAGAAAGCAAAAGGCAAAAGGCGCTCGCTGCATCGAACTTAGTTACCTCATTCTTTTTCGTCTTCTTTGTTTTTTCTCCGTCTCGGATTCTTTCTTTGCTTTTTTCCCCTCAATTGCTTCAAAAACTTGTTGCTGCAAGTTCCAGCCTTATTATTGATTTATTCATTTCATCATAGGTTAAGCGGGGCATTGTTTTTTTCTTGCTCGTTTTCTCCCTCAATCCCTATCATCAAGCTGCCCTTCTCATTTATCTACCTTACTTACTCAGCTAACATGCAGAACAAGGGAGATTATTTCTACTCATGAAAGAAGTCCTGAAGCTACGCAAATGTACTACTGTTTGTTGGGTTCCAACAATGCTGTTGCTATAGTTGTTGCTGTAGCTGCATGATATACTGTTGGCCCTCTCTCTCTGTCTGTCTCCCTTCCCACATACAACACAACACCTCAACCGCTTCTCCTGGCTGCAGTGCCTCTCTCTTTATCCCCATCTCTTATTTTTTTTTCTTCCATTCCCTTTCTCACGGTTGCATTTGCTATACATTTTATACTCAACTGTCTGTTTCATCTACGGGTTCAATGCCAATCTCATCACCCAAGTATTCCAATAATTACCCTGTGGATATGACGCTACGCTCGTTCCTTATCTAAATCCTTTTATTGTTTCTTTCGATCTTTGGAATCTTTTCTCCTCGCCTATATTCGCGTTACACCATGTCTCCATCGATTTCCGACTCTTTCGTCGTGCAGAGAAGTAGTACCCATGCTCTTCAGCTCTCCAAGCCGTCGGAGCAATGGAAGCTCTCCCTCCAGGAGGTCAAACTCCTCTACTTGCGACGTCAATACAAACAATGCGCCGCCACATCTACAAAATTTCTCCGCCAAATGGATAACCAGGTCAGTTATCTCTATGCGCTCTATGCGAAGTGGAAGTTCATACTAAGTAATCTGTTTCCACAGCTCCATGCAATCCATAAAGCATTCCTCCATTATTATAGTGCCATCTCCTACGAAGCACTGGGAAGAGGCGCTCATAATTACTCGAGCAACAAACTTCCACTGCTTAACTTAGCCAGAGATAACTTCACTGCATGCAAATCCTCCCTCACAGTAGCTCTACCAGGGCCCGTTGAGAAAAAACAACACCCGCCACCACAACAGCAACGGCGGAAACTCAACAACAGGAGTCGCGAACACGTGTTGAGGAACGACAAGAGGAAAACATATCCCGTAGTATCACCTACAAAAACCTATCGCGATGCACCTACACTTGTTGAAAACGGAACTAGCTACCATCATTCTCCGTCAACGGCGCCAGCTCAGCAATCTACTTCTCCTCGCCCGTCCACTATGGTGCCACGTCAGGGACCGCCAGGAAATAGAGAATTCATGCCGTTACCACTTCGCATTCACAAAGTCTGCCATAATGGCTATGGCTATTACCAAGATCAATTAATAGAATACGACCCGCCGTCTTTACCTCCCCCAACGCGCCCACTACCCGAGCTTCCGCCAGAGGCCAATCACACTCCGCTCCCCAGCGCTGCAAAAACCACCACCCATGATGAGCCACAGACGGTATCAACCGTGCCGCTATTTCGACCCCTCGCTCCACAGTTCTACAGACACTCCATTGGATTTTCCACCGCTTCTCCTCCCACGTGCGGCCCCAGACGCACAGGCAGAAACAGTACCATCATCCACCAACCGCAAGCCAGCGCGAACTCCATATTCCCCCTCCCGCAAGACTCCCCGCTCATCCCGCTCATCACCTCCCTCTGCACCCAACTCGACGCGAACATAAATTCCATCTGCACACTGATATCCCGGACCCTGGACCTGCAGCGCGCCCACAACGCGAAGAAGAATAGCCGCCTCGCCTCCTTCTGGAGCTTCACGCCGACATATGACGACGAGAACGTCATCGCCAATGACCCATTCTACAACCACGACAACCATGATAAATATGACAATGGCCGGTATGGCACCGCCACGACCACCACACAGAGTACCAACTCCGCTTCCACTTCCACTGCCACCACCGGCAGCTCCTACAACGGCAATGGAAAAAACACATCACCACCACCCTCCTCCTTCTCCTGCTCTTCTTCCTCCTCCTCATCCTCCTCCTCCTCCACATCACCGCCATCATCATCATCATCATCATCATCATCATCATCATCAAGCACCGACGAAACGCGCCAGCAGCGCATTGCCCGCCTAAAAGCCGACGGGTGGACGACGGTTGGCCTCCGGTCGAAGAAACGCGGCTGGAAGGGCTCGGAATATTACGAGCGCGTGTGTAATGAGGCGTTGGCAGAGCTTTATGGGAATGGGAGTGGTCACGTTCGATGATGAGGATGAGAATGGGGTCGGGTTTGGTCGGGTCGGGTCGGGTCAGGGTATGTAATATTATTCATTATGCTTTGTTATGTTTCAGTGTGTGAGGAACTATATATGGCCATGGACGGTGGGATTGATTGATTATATGTGGAGTTCTGTTTTATATTTTAAATTGCTCCTTTTCTTAAGTTCTTTTGCTCCAATATTTTTCTTCTTTTTTTTTTTCTTCAATTATACGAGTTCCTGGCTGTGACGGACATATCATATACGACTGACTGACTCTCTTTCATTATTTGCTGGGCATTTCTTTTCTTCATCTCTGTTTGTCCTCACACCATTCTGATATTTCAGAATTGTGTTCTCGTCACTCTTTCTTCGTCCTCTTTTTTAATTTTAACCATACCTCCGAATACTATAAATAAATACTAAACCCCAATTTGCTAAAACCTGCTGTGGTAATAATAAGTCTTTGTTGGCCTAAACAAGCAAAATAAAGATAGTTATAAATAAAATACTAAATAAATAAATAAACTTAAAACATCTACCTATCTGCTGACGGGTGATAGGAGTAATGGGAGGTTTTTAAATTAGAAAAGGGAAACGAAAAGGGGGAAAGGGGGAAAGGACAGAGGTAACATATTGGAACGACCTAGATATTTTAATGAAGTCGGGGTGGGTGGGGAGAAAAAGAGGGGGAGAAGCGAGAGAGAAGAAAACTGAGGCTTTTTTTGAGCAGTTTTGAAATAAAACAACGCATGGTGAATAGGAAATGAAAGATATGAAAGAAAAATAGAATAAATAGAAGGGAATAGAGTCAATAAACCAAAAAGAAAAGAAATCAAAAGAAATCAAAAAACTCAAAAACGAAAACTAAAAAGGGGGGGATACGGGTGTTGGTTCTCCCGAATCAAGCGACAGCCAATTACTCTTTTCTTCTTTGTAGGATCAGAGATTAAGATGAAATAAAAGAAAACTAACCGCGAAAGAATAAAGAAAGGAAGTCAGGAAATTCACTTCAGGGAGGCCGTATATAATTTTAATATAAAAAGGAAAGGGAAAAATCATTATTGCTTCCTTTCCCCATCCCCCTTACTTTTTGAACCCTAAACAAAACTCATTCAAATAAACCCAGCCTTCACCTTGGCCTCCCGCTCAACCTGCTCCTTTTGCTCCGCCTCCTTCATTTCCCGCACCTTAGCAAGCACCACTTCCCGGAATATCTGCCCGCGCGCTATCCTACTTAGACTCCTCTTCTTCGTCCTGTCAGTTGGGGCACCTTGTGTACCTGCGGGGGCTGCATTGGCGAGTGTTGCTGCTCCTGCACCATCGCCACCAACACCACTAGCAGCACCAGCCTCAGATGGCTTGTTGGCCTGTCCTACACCCTCCTTATCCGCGGCCGTCGCAGAGGAATCGGCAGGCGCATCCACACTGCTCGGAATATCCTCCTCGTCTTCCTCCTGCATCCTCAGCGCCTCGATGCGGTTCGCAAGCTTGATGATCTCGATACCGCGCTTCAGACGCGCCTTGGCCATGTACGCCTTAAGCTCAGGTAGCAAGTTATGGTCGCTGGCGGATTCGCCCTTGAGCCAGGGGTGGGACAGAGATTGTTCGCTGGTGGCTCGCTTGCTCGGCTCGGGCTCGAGGAGGCCCATGATAAAGTCCTTAGCGTCCTTAGAAACGTCGCGCCAATATCGTTCGTGGAACACTATGCGGCCGTTCTGGCACTCGTCTATCAAGTCTTGCAGGCTTTCGGATCGGAACGGGGAGTAACCGCACAGAAGGGTGTAGGTGATGACTCCCATGGACCACATGTCGACGGCCTTCCCGTGGCCCTTCTTGAGCATAACTTCTGGGGCTGCGTAGCCGAAGGAGCCTGCCATGGTTGTAAGAACCTCTTTAGGGTTGTCGAGCATTTTCGCAATGCCGAAGTCAGCGAGGACTAGGGGTGAATCAGCTGCAGGGGTAAGGTAAAGGAGGTTTTCGGGTTTGAGATCTATATATCAAATAAAGATGAAAAAGATGAATCAGCCAAAAATATGAACATGTAATGGTTAAAAAAAAAAAAAAAAAAAAAAAAGATGGGAGAGTTTTAATTCTACCTCGATGCACAACATGGCGTTCATGCAAATAGTTCACCGCCTCAAGAACTTGTTTGATGGTTTGGGACGCATCCTTCTCCGTGAACTTTCCATATTCACAGATTCTGTCGAATAATTCACCTCCAGTTGCCAGTTGTGTTACGATATAGTATTTGTCCTGCTCTAACATCAGCAATCGCAAAGCGCTATTGAGTAATTACGCGGTATATCATGATTGTTGGGAACCCACCCTAGACTCGAACCAATCGTGGAATCTAACGATATGTGGGTGGTGCAAGCGCTGCAACATATCCAGCTCATCGTATACCATCTGCTCGTTGCCCTTTACATTCTTCTTCAGAATGATCTTCACAGCGACTTTTCCAGTCGGGCAGTCCGCCTCACGAACAATGCCATAGGTGCCAGCACCCAAGGTTCTCCCGAATCGATATTGTGATCTGAACTGTTGTAAGCGAAAAGGGGTGGAATTTTATGTTCTAGGATGTTTGGCCGTACTTCTTATCGTAGCTGTCGGGTTGGCCCTGCAACTTGTTGAGCCAGGCTGCGCACGGTTTGAAGGGCTAGTTAGACCAGGCATTTCCACATTTCCGAAAACAATAAACAAAGAAAAATGGGAGAAGAAAGTATTCCAGGGTGTAATGTCAATAGCAGGAAAAGTAGTTCCATTGCTATAAAGGCAACAACATCACGGAAAACTGGCAGGGCACAATTGCTTCCTGCAATCATGGCAAATGTATAGCCAGGTAGCTAATAAAGGGACTGGACATTGACCATTGACACTGAACCTCGAATAAAGTGAGTGCAATAGACAATAACTAGAGGAATTGCCCACTTACAGCTCATGTTGAATACGTCGGAATTTTCAGTAGACTCTTCGAATCTCGGTTACCAAATAGTAGGAGCGGGAGGCTTAAGCGAAGGATAGAAACGAAAAGAACGCTGAGCAAACTAAAAGCCGGAACTAAGTGGTTGTTGGTATTGAAGGTGTAAAATAAAAACTACCAGGCAGATGAGTATCTGAATTTATCCGTGTGTCGAGGGTCGAGAGGTATAGAAATATTGCAGGGAGGAGGTGCAATAAATGCGTGCTCAAGGCTGAAAAAGATGGGGGGCGTCAAAAACGAAGCGCACCAACGCGGCTCCCCGTTGCTTTTAGACTTCGGGTGTTTTTTTCACAGGCTGCATGAACTTCGAGAGTAAGGCAGACAGCACGCACAGCAATAAACAACACACTGATGAGGGTATCCACAGCAAAAGAAAATAACAGAAGAGAAACAGCCTGGTTTATCTCATGTATGTATGTATGTATGTGTCTGTGTGTCTGTGTCTGTGTCTGTGTCTGTCCAGACTATGGCGGGGCAGAAGGAAGGAGGGACCCGGGAAACACCCCCCCGCCAGCCAATCACAGCCCCCGGAGCCTTTCAACAGACCCCTCTCGATCGCCCAGCCTCGGCCTGCGCCACAATGGCTGCCCACCAGCCACAGATGCCGCACATGGCAGTTGTTCGCGCCAAATGATTCACGTGATCTGGACTTGGCGACCTCGGGACTTGACGACATTATTGGGAGCGAAAGTTCAGGCTCCAAATTTCTGATTCCTGCTGTGACGTAACTATATACTCCAGACACACACACACACATATATATATATAATAGTAGGCTCACTCAATGCTGAGTGGGGAATTATACTCTCTAGTCTCTATTCTCCCCGTTCATCACCATAACCTACAGCGTAATACCATACCAGTATATATATTACTACTACTTGTAATAGCTTGCCTCACCATGCTCGCCCTCCTCATATACGCCAGTCTGGCACTCATCGTTCTGGCCGCTTGGGTTTCCGGTTCCCTTGACCCTTGCCAGAAATGGTTGCAAGAGGTCGTCCTCGCCATGATGGGAGAGACCAAGGCATCTTATAGCCTAAAGAGTAAACAGCTATCTCCTCCCCCCCCCCAACATGTTTCTTAAATTCCATATCACGCTATTTAGCTAGGCGGCTGGCTGACTGGGGGTTCGTTCATATTTTCCCTCGATTATTGTAGAGAGCTTGACGGGCAAAAAGCTCATCGAAGAGGAGAATTTGAGCAAGATACAAAACAACCTCGGAAACAACCTCGGGGGACTCTTTGCAACGGGTGGTCCTGGCTCGGGCCTTGGGGCTGCTGTTGGGAAGGCTCTGTGATAGTACTGCACATATTGAATTGTTGGGCCTTTGGTTTTCGAAAAAAAAAAATTCCTGTACTGTAACTAACTGTTTATAATGGTCCTCTCTCGTTCTTATACCCTGCCAATAATTTTATCAAAGCGTTTGAAACTGGGCTAGGCATTTGAAGCTTTCCGCCTTTAGGCTTTAACGTTATGTGCAGCACAATACTTATCATAATGAATGTCCTTGCTCGCAGATAATGAATATTTTATTGCAACCCGTTGAGTACCTTCTCCATTATGGCATACTGAGGAAATGTATGTCCTTGTCTGAGTCACTAAAGAAGATTCATATGTAACATCACGCCTAGGGACCCAACCCCGGATCTACAAAGATGGATTGTAGAAAATTACTCAGGATAGACTAGCGGGCCGCTATAAATAACTTAGAAAGTTAGCTAATTCTCCAGGCATGACCCGAGCTAACGCCGTGATATACGTGATATGATATGGAGTGATGCCGCCCAACGCAGTGACCGTTAATTATTTATACGAATACCTTGACGTCTTTCACCCTCTTTTGAGAAGCCAACCCCGGTGTCCTGAATGACTCTTATCTCTAGATATTACTACATATACCCTTCCTCGCTCGCCGCTCAGTCTCTGTTTTTACGGCTTGTGACCAAACTGCAGCTCCCCTCCTCAGGGTACTTAAGAACCCCGCTAATCCGCGTTGCTGCCCCCATCAATTCGGGACCTGTTTTCCAAACGCTTTCAAGTTCTCTCCCAATTACCTTGTATTAAAGAGAGTCTTTCTCTATACCTAACCCCTCTTTAAGGGCTTGGAGGCTCTGATCAATACGTTCTCTCTGTCTTGCTACAGCCTGCCGTTGCGCCTCGGGTTATTTTATCCGACTCTCAGTCACCATGTTTGCATCCAAGCGGCTGAGCAAGGTAAGTAGATTCATATACCCCCTTTCAACGATCCCCCCACCGGCGGCCCCCTTACTCAATGACTCAATACATAGCTATCTAACTCATAACAACCATCAGGAACTCTTGAAGGTAAACTACTGGATACCGGCGCATCACTTGACTCCGCTCCGAAACCCCACCTGATCCTTACCTTTTATACATATCTATATAGATATTCATCATCCAAAAAGGGGGAAGAATGAATTGCCAAAGAAAAAGCAAAGAATAGAATAGAATAGACAAGGAAAAACCAAGGAAACCAACAGGCCCTGACATATACCTCTATCACTTGTGCAGATGCAATCCTCCCTCCCGCCGGGAATCTCCTTAGTCAAAGCAGAAGACCTCGAGGAATGGCAAATGGACATCTGCGTCCTGGACAAGTCCAACCCGCTCTACCTCAATGAAACCTACCGACTGAAGTTCACTTTCAGCAAAAATTATCCCATCGGTATGCGGAACTCTTGCATATCCCCAACACACCGATCCAAATCCATACCATATTCTCTATATACATATATATATTATATTCTCTGCTACTTACTACACCCACAACACAAGCTAACCACACCCTCCAATCCCCCCCTCTCCCCACCACAGAAGCCCCCGAAGTCCAATTCATCTCCATCCGACCCACACCCACACCCACACCAGCAGCAGCAGCAGCAGCAGCAACGACAACGACAACAACCACAACCACAACCCCCTCCACAACCCCGTCAATCGTGCGCCCCATCCCCATCCACCCCCACATCTACAGCAACGGCATAATCTGCCTCGACCTGCTCGGGACCGCCTGGTCGCCCGTGCAAACCGTCGAGAGCGTCTGCATGAGCATTCAGAGCATGCTGGCGGGGAACAGGAAGAACGAGCGGCCGCCGGGCGACGAGGACTTTGTGGCGCACAACCGGCAGCGGCCGAGAGATATTCAGTTCTATTATGATGATTCGACGGTGTGATTTTGGTGGTTTGGTATTTTGTTGGGTGGGGATATGCGTATGGGAAGGGAAATGCGTGTGGTTGGGTTGGTGGGGGTGGGGGTGGGAGTTGGGGGGGGGGAGGTGGAAGAGAGGAGAATTGATACAGGGGGGCATATTAGATTAGTATGGTTGATAGATAGATGGCTATGTATATGTTGAGATTTTATGTTTATGTGCTCACGAAATAGGCAGGAGAGAAGAGAAGGGGGAATGCAAGGTTGTTCTAGGACTATACACATATACACACTTCTTTTCTTTTTGTCTCCCTTCGTCATTTTGCCCGTTTTAGTTGAGGGATTCGTATTCTGCTAGCATCGTTCTGCTTTTTACATCGGTTGATGTGTTATGAATGAGACTATAAATATTATGCGGCCGCATTTTTAATTTCTTTTTCCTCAGCTCCCTGTCAGTGGTCTATGCAACACATAAGGGTTCATGCGGTCGTTAAAAAACAAACATGAACAATGGAAAATGAAAAATAAGAGGACAAATTTAAATATTTCCCGCTTAAATCCTCTGCTATGCTAAATATTTACTGAACAGGTAAAAAAAAAAAAAAAAAAAAAAAAAAAAAAAAAAAAAAAAAAAAAAAAAAAAAAAAAAAAGAGGATAGAAGGTAACAATAGGGAACACTGGAGTAGCGGGAAACAATAGTTGCGGATGGACACCCGTGAGGATAACGGTACAGGGGACGAAAAGCAAAAAGAGAACTTGATCAGGAAGTCTGATATGCAAAAAGAAAAGGAAATGGGAAGGAAAAAAGGAAAGTAGAATCAAATGAATCAACAGTCTGTCCGCGGGTTTTGGAAAAGATTTTACAAGGTGGAGGGTTGATGGACCTATTGAACGGTATAGCAGGGCGGGATTTTGGAGAAAAATACAGAAATTTGTTTGTCTATTTTTTTTTCTTTTAAAACTCTTTTCCTTCCACCCCTTTTCTACTAGAATTGCAAAAAAGAGGGAAGAGGATTATTAAACATGTCCATGAGTAAGTAGGCGGGTTCTCTTCATGGTTAATGCTGATATTCTCCGATTATCTGTCTACTTCGCCAAACACGAGATCCATGGTACCTACAAAAGAAAGGAGGGAAAGGTATTAGCACGGGCAAAAGAGAGGGGTTTACAGAAGGTGGAAATTAAAAGGAGGAAAGAGGGACATACCAATGATTGCGACTGCGTCAGCTAGCAGATGGCCTCTAGCAACCTGATCGAAACAAGACAGATGGGCGAAACCGGGAGCACGAATCTTGCATCGGTATGGTCGTTCGCTGCCATCGCTGACGAGGAACACACCCATCTCACCCTTGGGTGCCTCAATAGCGGAGTACGTTTCGCCAGGAGGCACTGCATATCCCTTTGTGAAGAGGAGGAAGTGATGGATGAGCGCTTCCATGTTCTCCTTCATGGCAGCTTTCGGGGGCGGAGAGATCTTGTAGTCCTCCACGCGAACGGGGCCTGCTGGCATCTTATTCAAGCATTGGTGGATGATGCGAAGGGATTGGCGGAACTCCTCCATGCGGCAAAGGTATCGGTCATAGCAATCTCCATTGACACCTACCGGGACGTCAAATTCTACTTGGTCGTACGCATCGTAAGGTTGGGATTTGCGGACGTCCCATGGAACGCCGGAGCCACGGAGCATGACTCCCGTGAAGCCGTAATTGAGGGCCTCTGCGGCAGTGACTACGCCAATGCCCTGGGTTCGAGCCTTCCAAATACGATTGTCGGTAAGCAGTTCTTCGGTCTCGTCGATACGGTCGCCGAATTGAGTTGCCCACTGGTAGATATCGTCTAGGAGGCCGAGGGGGATATCTTGATGAACCCCTCCCGGTCGAACATATGCAGCATGTAGACGGGCTCCCGAAACACGTTCGTAGAATTCCTGTGCAAGTAGAAATGGGTCAGACCATGAATCATCAAATTACATTGCCTACATCAACATAATTAAGACGTACCATCAATTTCTCACGCTCCTCGAATCCCCACAAGAATGGAGTTAACGCTCCAACGTCCATAGCGTGTGATAATACCGACATGAGGTGGTTCAGGACTCTGGTGATCTCCCCGAACAATGTTCTAATCCATTTCGCCCGCTCTGGAATCTCGACGTTAAGTAGTTTCTCCACCGCCAACGAAAAACATTGCTCGTTCGTCATCATCGAAACATAGTCCAATCGATCAAAGTATGGCAGCGCTTGCAAATAAGTCTTATATTCGATCAGTTTTTCCGTGCCGCGATGCAGCAATCCAACATGGGGGTCTGCTCGAATAATTTCCTCTCCATTGAGCTCCAAAATCAACCGGAGCACACCGTGCGCAGCCGGATGCTGAGGGCCGAAGTTAACTGTGTAATGGCGGACCTTGCGGCCAAGTTCAACTTCAGATTCAAGGGCTGCGGGTTCAGCGTATGAACCTGGCGGCTTGTTGGGCTGATATTTTGGCCCGCCCGGTGCGAATTCCGGATCCGTAGGGATGAGTCTAGTAGGCCGATAGGCAGGAGTGGCATGAAGAGCGGGTGAGGTAGATATTGATCTCAGTCCTGCGATTGAGGAAACTCTAAATGCGGAGGAGGATGAGGGGGCGAGACATAGCCTTTTGGGCGCATGCCGAGCAAGGAATGTGAGCGAGGAAGCCATGGCCACGGATGTAGGTTATCTATCGAGATACGCACAAAATGGTTCGTGCCTCGACTTTGGCACGGTATATGAGGTGGGGGACGGCTCCCACAAGAAGAAGCACTGGTCAATGGCTGTCGACAATTTCCTGTCTTCTACCTGTCTATCCGTTCTGTCGTTCGTATTTGTGTCGGGTTACAACAAAGCGAGGTCGGTGATTGGGCTAGTCACGTGGATGTTTGCTCAGCAGTCATTTTCATGTTTCTGATTGGCTAGAGCAAGCGCTTGGCGGACTACATATTTTTCTCGGAAAATGTCATGTCAGCACGGACCACTATAACGTATACCACCAAAGAAAAAAGTTACCACCACCACTCTTAAGCTATTTTGCGCATCACAACTCAGGAAGAGCGCAACAATGGCGCCAAGAATCGCTTCTCTGGAAGAAATTAATCAGAGGAAGGTAAGAATTCGATGTTGCTTCCTCATTGTGTCGCATCGAACCTAGCAGAGCTAACATGACCCAGGTCATCGGCATAAACGCGGAGACAGTCACAAATATCTCATCAACAGATTTCCCCGGCCATTGGCCTGGCGAGAATCATGAGTGGTCTATTGACGTATTTAAAAGAGTGAGTGGGAAAAGGAATCACTTTAAATCCCTATCCATTACTCATTCTAATCTCCCCTATCCGGATATAGAACCTCAAAGTCACCTTCCACAAGAATGAACCTTACGAAGCTTCTTTCTCTTTGGTCGGCGTCGACGCAGCTATCGCAAACGCCTTCCGTCGCATAATGATCGCCGAAATTCCATCCCTTGCCATCGAAACCGTTTATATACACAATAACACCTCCGTCATCCAGGACGAGGTGTTGGCGCACCGTCTGGGTCTAGTCCCTCTCACAGGCGCGGCGGAGGGGATCAACTGGCTGCGCTGGTTTAGGCAACCAACAGAAGGCAAACCAGATTCCGGCAGCGAACTCTCAGATTCCAATACTATCGTTTTACATTTAAGCGTGGAATGCACGAAGAATCCTAAAGCCAGCGCAAATGAGGAAGACCCCCAGAAGCTGTACAACCATGCACACGTGTATGCCAAAGATATTACATTCCACCCGGTAGGCCGACAAGAGGCCTACTTCCCAGAGCCTTATGGTGCCATACGGTCCGCCAATCCTGATATTCTTCTGGCGAAACTACGACCTGGCCAAAAGATCGATATTGAAATGCATTGCATAAAGGGCATTGGTGCTGATCACGCTAAATTTTCCCCGGTGGCAACAGCCTCATACCGTCTCCTTCCAGATATACGCATACTTCGGCCCATCCTTGGCCAGGATGCTCTCAAGTTTGCACGATGTTTCCCTAAGGGTGTCATTGGAATCGATTCTGTATCCGCGGAGGAGGCGTCGCAGGCTGGGAGCGGATATGAAGGTCATGAAGGCGAGAAGAAGGCTGTTGTGCTTGATCCCTTCAAGGATACTGTGAGCCGGGAATGCTTAAGACACGAGGAATTCCGGGGCAAAGTCAAGCTAGGGCGGATACGGGACCATTTTATCTTCAACGTTGAAAGCACAGGGCAGTTCAGGAGTGACGTTCTATTCCTAGAGAGCGTAAAGGTGCTCAAGCTCAAATGTAGGAGATTGAAACGTGATCTGGCTAAACTCGCTGACATGACAGAGGCTTCATGAATCTTTATAAAAAAAATCATTTTCCCTTCCTTTCTGTCTTTCTGGTAAGCTTTTTTTTTGGCGTTGGGGGTCTTTGTTTCGGCGGAGTTAATCGGCTGATAAGCGGGATTGGGGAAGTTATTACGATTTGACTTAAAGAATTGTAGCTATATCTAGAAAAACTTATCGCACTTCCATGTATTCAGATGAATTGCCGTTGCTCCCAAGGATACCTTTGGGAGTAAAAATAGCCATACCATCGCACTGTCGGTTTTATTAACCTGATCATTTAAATGTCACTCTAAACCGGAAGTCGATCGTGTAAGCTGGGTCGCTAACCGCCACTTCGTCTCCATTCGTAACAAGTTCTTTCAATTTCAGTTTCAAATTGGGCCTTGTGTGCTCTTCCAACTGTCGGGGAGCGCGCTGATAAAGCATCTTCGCCTCTGATCTCAAGCTAGGGGCTTTGAGTTGCGCTTCCGGTAATTCTCCAAGGGACAGAATGAAATCTTCCAAGGTCGATTCGGGATCTACCATAATCGGTTTCGCCAAATTGCCGCACACAGGGCAGTCGCTCTTCTGTTCGGCCGCAAATGTGTAAGTATAGACCCCTTCTTCCCCCGCGTACATCATATAGTTCTCTAGATAAGGGTTGCAGGACGTCGCAATCTTCAGTGCTTCCGAGGTGCACGCAGCGGCGATCACAGCGTTTGTAGAAGCGATTGCAGGAATGATGTTTTTTACGACACCCTGAGTCATCGAGAAGGTCACACCAGGGATGTTGAATTGTTTCGCGCGTTCAAATGCCATGTTATAAATCCATGTTACATGCTCCATGTCATCGCCGTCAAATTCTTCATCCTTACGGTGTTCTTCCCAGGCAATTTGATGCGCCCATTCAATGCAGTGCTGTGGTTGTCGAGGAATCGTCGCAATGGTGCATAATGGCACCGCGGCGCGGGGAGCATGCATGTCGAGTTGGCACTCGATGCATGAAGAGAGTGTAGGAAGAATAACTCGGGCTTGTCCCTTGAAGCCTATATCACGTTTCAATATTAACCCTCAGGCAAGATCTCATAGATTGCATCATGTTTGGTGATAGGGCAACTCCAACAATACGCACCTTCTGATCCGCCATCGATGAGCGGTTTTAAGCTCTCAAGATTCTCACTATCGACCATCCCAACTAGCATCGAATTTATCCAGCGCCGTGCTTCGATACTGTCAAGCCCGCAGACAACCATTTTGAATTGCATGTAGTAACTTTCATCCTTGTCTTGGATCTTACCGACGTAGGGAGTGATCTTTACCCCTTTTACTCGTCGCTCCACGAAGGCAGCTGCCACTTCAGCCTTAGGCTTTCCAACATCATCTTGGCGGAACAAAAATTGTCGATTCAAATTTGATATATCGATGGTATCTAGGAAACTGTTACTAACATCCATTTCATCATTTCACGGGCTGGTTGAAACGTACCCATATCAATGACATGAATATCTTTAAATCCCGACAGGGCCAAATTCTTCAGAATTTCACATCCTAACCCTCCAGCTCCTCTGAACTGCTGTTAGCAGCCAAAACAGAAAAACAGCCTAGGCAAGCCCACTTACATGACCCTATGAAGAATTATCAGCAACTTTCCACAAGGTGATCGTTGGTTAGTTAAGGAGGCACTTACAGAATTTTAGAGGTTTCAAGATCCGTAATGGTTTCTGGGCCAGGCACCCAATCCTCATCACTAAAGGGACCTGCGCGAGTGAGCATTCTGTAGAGTGGCTTCCTAGATGGATGTTAGTAAGTATTCATATCAATACAAAATTTTGATTCTCGAGTACCTACCAGCGCTGAGGCTCCTGACGGGGAGGGACGTCAGAAGCAGACATATTATCGAAACGTAATATTAAATCACCGAGAGATTAATATATTCCCAATGAGATAAATGAGTATCAGAAACCGTTAAGATGCCCTGAACGTTTGCGATTCTATCTTCAGGAACGAAGAGCGTAGCGCAGATGATCAATATTCAACGCCTACGCAGCGTAATAATAAAGACTAAGGAGGGCTATGGCGGGCACTGTAGGGACATATACTTCCTAGACCTGTATTCGCTACTGTATCATTGTTGGCTGAGCTCGCTGCTTGCTGCGCGGATTTCTACCTGCTGTCATAAAATGTCACGTGATAATTTGATGTCAACTTCGGTTGTTTAGTTCGATGGATGGTGAAATAACGCAGGATGAGTATCGTCCCATTTTGATCCGCTTCACTTCATTCTATTGCCGTGTGGGGTATGGGCCATGGATGGTCTCCTTACTGCCGTCAAGACGGTTGAAACCCGTGAGGAGCTGACGGTTTCAAAACCACTCCAGCAAAGATATCCCGCACATGAGGAGAAGCGCCCGTGTCCGCAAAATGGGATAAAATCTCCAGAAGAAGCGCTACACGCCCTTAAATCATCTCCAGACAAATACTTTGTTGTACAAGCGTTATACTTTCTTGATCCTACTCGAGCTCCTGGGGATGGTTTCAATATAACTACTCCAAGCGCCGTCGCGGCGCAAATTTTGCACATCTTGATTGCTACAACCATTCCCGACCATTGGAGTGGTCTCGGAAATGAAGATATCTCAGAGCCAGATCCAGAGGGAGACCGCAAACTAAAACCAAAAGCAGCACTTCTAAGATGTTTGAGCAGCGTGACAGGTATCGGCGCTCTGGTAGCTCATCTGCGCTCATTACTCGCCAAACAAGAGTCCTTGTCAGGTGAAAAACGTTCGGGTAACAAGTTGGTTATTCAAGACTTAATAGCGGTCTTGTCGTCTGTTTTAAAACCTCCCGATTTTCTATTCAACACATACATGAATATTTCGAGCAAGGTCGAACTGCCAGCCCAAAGGCAGATTATGTGGAAAGAGCTTATTTCACTCCTTGCTGCCGGAAAGGTGCTATCAGTCGCTTCCGAAGGTCTTCTTACCATTAAAGATCTTAAGACCCCTCGTTCGATTCATTGGATTGGTGAAGGAAACCAATATGCGGCCTGGCTTGGGCAATGCATTTCCCATATGGCTTCAAAAGCCCAAACAACAGAATTGGATTGTTGGAATTATTTGGCCCAGTTCGTGGCTAGATCGCTGAGTCTTGGATATACCGGTATATTGGCCCACTCTAAGGATGGTATAAATGGAATTGCTAAAGTTTTTCACTTTCAGCCCAGGTTGTGAGCGAGATATATGACACCCTTCTGCTTCAAGAGAATGCCTCACCGGACCGGTTTGGCATTCTTTTAAATAACCTCAGACGTCATGATCAAATACTACTCTTCAAATCTATACTTCATGATTTGGAAAAAAGATTTCTCCCTGCTTATCCCAATGCGTTACAGCGCCCGTTGGAAGATCCAAGCAAATGCAAGACTATCAACGGAGTCTCAGGTGTTGTAGCGACTATTGTTCGCGGCCGAGACATCCTGAAATCCCAGTTGAGTGAATGGCTTGTAACTGGATTAGAAATGAACATCCAAGGGATCGATTTTCGCCGGGCGCTTTTGGCATCATTTGGCAACCAGCAAGGTGAGCTTTCAAGGTGGATAGTATCTCTACATTTTACTTACTAACCTCTAATGTTAGAACCCATACTTGAGATACTGAGAAGAGCTCTAGAAATATTTGGTGATCAGCTATACATAAAGCATACACCCACACGTGGGCAGGAAGGTAAAATATTTCTATCTTCGAAGCGAGAAGTTATCAATGACGAAAGCTGAAAAAAATGCTTGCAGCGAATGTCCAGATTATTCTTTTGACGGCCGGATATGCTCATCGGCTCTTGCCACATGAACTACTCTCCATCACCCAGTCAGGAACTTACCTGACCGCGATATCCAATCGACTCGCGGCCTCCTCGCCACGGGCCCGCTTCCTTGGCATGATAGTTGGCATGTCATTATCAAAGCTAGCCGATCCTGCAGGCAAGACTATGAAATTTGACCTTGAAGAGATGGAAGGTGAAGAGGCACTCTGGTATATGAGCTTGACAAATGTGAAAGATGAAATTGGTTCGATCAATGACTTGAAGGATGTAAACGCCCAGCATCCTCCAAAGAAACCAAAACGTCATGTGCGGAAACCTCCTCAGGATGATCAGCCAAAAATAAGTCAGGAGAGGTCAAAAGTCCTTTCTATTGAAGAGGTGTCTGAGGAGTCGGATAGCGATGACTTCCTACCCTACGAAAAGCCGGATACGGATGCTTCAGACTCTGAAGATGACCCAACGCTGATCAACCGGTCAAAGCCCAGTTCCCCAGTGTAAGTTTCTACTTCACTTGTAACTTTGTCTTCGTTAACTCCTTTGTTGCTAACGTTGTACGTAGATACATACGGGACCTGTTATCTTGTTTGCGGGATACAGATAATGCAGAGCGATATAACTTGGGGATATCAACTGCACCAACGCTGATACGGCGCAAAGCATCTTTTGGCACCGAAGTTGCAGAAAACTCTGAGGCGCTGGCACTCCTCATTGTGGGGCTACAAGACAAATATAATTTACCCAGATTTCAGGAGTACAAGTTACAGAGTGAAATTGCATTACTTGTAGCCTATCCACTGACAATGGGCAGGTGGTTCGTACATACACTTTTCAACGCTGACTTATCCCAAAGCCAGCGATCAACAATTCTTATTGCGCTTGGTTTGAGTACCCGCGAATTAGCAGGATTTGGAAAAGAAGACGCAGATGCAATGAGTCTCCCTCCTGCCGTGGACTCCTCGTTCCCATCAAAACGTCTACCTTCCAATCTAGCAACTACGTACGGCGACGTAAACAACCCTATTGATGCTATATCGAAAAAGCTCTCACAAGCTACCTTAAAGCCTTTGGCTCTCCACGCAGCCGATTCGTTGACCGGGCCCAACGCTCTCAAGGTCCGAACATTCTCATCTCGTATGGAAGTGGAGAAAAGGAAGCAGCAGAGGGAGCAGCAAAGAAGAGAAAAAGCTGTTCCTAAAGACCTCCACAGAATCCTTTCAGATGGGTTCTTCTTTCCTCTTACCAATGCTTTCGAAGTAACTATGTACTCGACCCCGTAAGTCAAAGTCCCTTGTCAAATCTCTGACATACACAAAACCACCCGCACCCGTCAACCCACAGATTATCATATGTTTCAGGGTGTTCAACCGCTTACTCCTTCAGGTCCAACAACACGTACAATCCATTCTTGATCCCACATCTCCTCCACCTCTTCGTTCAGACAGTTACACTCGTCCTTTCCACCCTTGGTCCAAACTCTCCCAATCTAGCCACACTTACGCACGAAGCTCTCTCTCTCCTTATGACTCTACACAACCTCCCAGTCGCCACAGAACCCACAGTGCTCCCCGCAATGCTATCCTTGTTTCTCGCAATCGTAGATTTAAATATATCATCCGGCAGTGCCGGCGAAGAGAGACTTGTTACTGAATTTGTAACGCAGGTGATGGAAATGCGTGAATGGGTTGATGGTGTGTTTGAGCGCGCTTCGAAGGAAGAGGAGGAAGTCAGGATGCTCTCTGCAGGTATAATGGTCAAACTTGGGGATGTCATGGAGAGGTACCAGGGCCGATTGTTGGGAACGAATCTTGGGTTTGGATATTAATAGCTATGTGGATAGCGTATACACATATTAACCGGGGTTCATGTATATAGATGGATATATATGCCTAGCCATAGTTTTTTCAAAATTACAAGTTCAAAGAGAACCTCTTAAGGAAATGACTAGGGAGCTCAAAAGAGACTGTTGAAGCACTTCCTCCTTTGTAAAATTGCTCGGGTTAACAAACAGCTACCCACATATTTTCAGCCGCGGAACCAAAAATGCGAAACGCGGGGCAACAGTCGACATTAAGGGCCTGTTCGGTGATTTTTTCCGTAACAGTGCCAGGGCTGTACAGAAAGTGGATATTTAACTTCTGATGGTGTTAACCTTCATTATTGTCACCTTTTCTTATATGAATAGTAGTCTGCTTGATGTTTTAAGTACTTCCTTATGAATGATTTTTTATGATGATGACTATCATGTCATTTCAGCAGATATATAGCAGTTTGAAAATCCTGTTATCTATCTTTACACACCAAATATCAGTGAAAAATGGATCTTAATGAGTCTCAAATTGATCACTTCTGCAGTGACAAGCCTTATTAACTGCTGTCTATGATATAAATACTGTCATATTGTCTCCCAGATTGCATTATCATGGTTGCTCACCATGATTGTTGATTTTTGATGATATTTGCAGGTCTCTGGACACTGTACAGCCACACTGGAACATATCAGCAGATATCATGACTCATTCCAGTGTATACAGTACAGATTTAACTTGAATAGGTTTAGATTGATCACTTTTTCAACTAAATAACTTGTAGGCTACTGGGGCAAAAGAGCTCAATCACCACCAGCGCACTGCTGGTAGAAGGGCCGATCAACCGCGGGACCCCCAACATAACTACACCATTGAACTCTATAATATGAATCTGATTGTCAGCTTGACATGCTTGGTGGGTTGTACAGAGTTATACGCAGAATCTACTGAACAGAAGGCCTTATCCGGCCAGGTTAGTGTGTATAACCCCGGCCAGAGCCGTCCAGAGCTGTACAAGCTGGCACTGTACGGACTTATACGGCCCTGGACGGGGTCACCGAACAGGCCCTAAAGGGTATTTAAATACGTTGGAAGGGATAACTGCAAGGAGAAAATAATGCCAGATATTGGTAGAGCTCTATGTACTAGACTTAGCAAATCCCTGCTGTTCAATCGCCCCCTTCAACATTCGATTCCCGCTGATTATTCCCGTCGTACAAACAACAATCCGTCTTCGCTCCGATTCTCTGCTCGCAATAAACCTCAGCGCCGCAATCTCGGTAAAAGTAATCCCACCAAGGAAAAATACAAACACCGTCTTTATGCCTCCGGTTCCCGAGAGGGTTTGGCGCGCCCTTACCGCCTTCTCATCACCTTTTTGGACGATATTGAACGTGGAACCCCGTGCGCTTTTTACGATCTCTTCGAATCCTAGCCAGCCAGGGGATGAAATTCCGGCAGAAACTCCTGCAGCGGATGCGGGGAGGCCCTTTGTGAGGGACAGGATATCTGGTTTCTGCAAGACGCACTGGACAAGGCGTACGCTGAGCGGCGCATACCCACTGTAGACGTATGCGATATCATCTGGATCCTGCTCGTTCACTTCATCGACAATAAGTCGCAGACTCTTGCGAAGATAGCTATAGTTGGATTTCAAACCCGCCGGACCGCTTCCGGTGGGGAGCAGCATAGCAGTTGCAGATGATCGTGCCTGAAGCAACTCCATCTTCTCAAGAGCATGGAATGTTAGGAGATGCTGGTACCCGTATGCTTGCAATATTTGTTTTTTAAAGTTTTCTAAATCCCGGGGTCGGAGACCACCAGTCATACAGGACTCAAGGCACAGTAATCGGAGAACAGTATTTAGAGGAACGTCACGTGCGATGAGTTCTTCGACAATCTCATGCTGGTAAGTAGGATCGGAGCCGGCTGCGACATTTTGCTGAACTCCAAGCACTTTCCTGAAAATGTCAGAACGGGTTTGACGCATGATATCTTCTGCAAGATTTGCGTGAACTTGAAGACTAGTGCGTTCTGCTTGGTACGCTGGTAATTTGTTGACGAATTCCCGTAGTTCGGCGGGCGATTTGGCTACATGGCGACTCTCATAGTTGCTCTCCAGCCGTCGGGCTACTTTATTTAATAGACCTCCAACTATAGCAAAATTTGCATTGCGAAGTTGACCAAATAATTGATCAGAGGAGTCGAGTTGTATCTTTCGTTTTAAACCCTGTTTGGCAGCTGCCGACGATGTACTAGAGGACGTTACTTGAGAAGACGAGGGTGTAGGTGCAGAAGGGCCGAGGATCATGGAGTCAACTTCGGCTTGGTTATTTGCGATCTCAAAAAATTCGTCAACGAGACCTTCGTATGTGAGTTGGGTGAGCAGTGGAGTTGCGAAATCCACATCTCGATCGATAATTATCAAACTCTCCATTGTTGAGCTAACCATAAGTCCTCTGCTAGACCCATAGTTCAATCCAGAAGTTTCTTCAGCATCTAATTCTTTTCTCATTCGCAAAAGTTGATCTGCTACTTTCCTCGCATTGTCTCCTTTTCCAACAATCCGAGGAAAGAAACCATGCCGTAGCTGCAGATTCATTAATGCTTTAGCGGAAAGATAAACTGGGCCTGGGTCCTTGTGCTACGATATATTAGCTTAAAAACATCCGTTGAGACTGGAAACCATATCTCATACCAAATAGAGGTCCGGGAACGCATCCCCCAGCTCCAAGGAGAGAATATCGCTCTCCAGAGGTAGAAAATAGAGCGGAAATTCCGCGATATTAACGTCTCCAATAATACCTTCGTCTTCTAAAATTTGATTACAAACAAGAGTACGGCGTGGGACCCAGAATATGAAGAACTCATGTTCGACAGCTCCATTTCGTTGAAGCTTTCTTATTTGTTCTAACGAGAATGTTAGCACATTATGATGGCTATAAAATATATGGGGGAAAATAAATAAAAATGCCAAGGGAATGTGCTGGAAAATTGTTTTATATAGGGGACAAGACTGGCAATGGCGGGTGAGAATAAAACCTCCAAAGCCTCATGTTATGCCCCCATTTTTTTATACAATAATAGCAATCAGATGGAATAAGAGTAAGTTTACACATAAGAGGGAAGCCAAGAGCGGAGATAAAACAAGGAAAAAAGACAAATGCATATGCATATGCGACGTAAAATAATCATACCAGCCGTGGATTGTACCTGGGTAGGCTTTTCAGCATGCACCAGGAAGACAATATTCTTTTGGGAGGAATCGACATTTCCATTCTCAAGCAAAAAGACACGGTCCACTCCGTACTCTTGAAGAACGGAGAACTTAACAAACAAGCCAACTGGGCCAGCCAGGTCTTTGCTAATCACAAGGTTCTTTTTGCCTCGCACCTGGATATACAATTAGCACATCATGCTGGGTAGCTTGGTTTCTTTAGATGCCAGCCTTACTCACGCCTTCAAGAAGATTCAGTAGATCTCTCCGGGCTTTCTCTCGGATATACTCTGCTTCTGACCCAGGATCGGGAGCCATTGTGCAGTGCAGTGAGAACTGGAGCTGTTGATACTTGTAAACCAAACACCGTCTGCCTGCTGTTGCTTGACGACGTCAGGTCCACAAAAACGGGAGCTCGGGAGCCATTTATGGTTAGAGCAAGTAGGCTTTGGGGAGAGTCTGCGCTAGCTCTATTTGTACTGGTCAAACTTAGTCAGCAGCCGCTTCCCCGGATCACGTGTTATTTCTCGAACACCCTCCTCAGCCACCAAGCCACCTCGTCTCCTATCTCGATTTGAAACTCCAACCTTTTCTCGTCTTTCCTCTTGCTAACTCTCAACAAGTTTTAACATAAGCTGCTAGAGCAATAATCCTTTGTTTTTCTGTCTGCTGCCTCCTACATTATGAAAAAGTTCGGGTTTGGCAGCAAGAAAAGCGAGGGTGCGGATGAGGATGGCAACCGCTCAGCGCTTTTCGGGTCCAGGTCCAAGAACAAGAGCCCGGCACCCCCCTCAAATCCATACGCACAACCTCCGCCGTCGGGCGATCCGTATAGCCAAGGACGTGGGCGTGGTGCACCGCCTGGTGCGGGTGGATATGGACCCCCTTCAAATGCTGGACGCCCTGGCATGAATCCTCCAGGGCCCCAAGGAAACAGCGGACCCAGAAATCCCTACGAGAATCTTGATAACAAATACGGCCGAGCTAATGGCGGTTATGCACCTGGAGGCCCTGGGTACCAAAGTGGATATGGGGGAGACAGGTATGGAGGAGATGCTTCTGGTCCCCCAGGCCCAAAATCTAGATATGGCCCTGGAGGTTATGGTGGACTTGGGAGGACCGACCCAAACGATACAGCTTCCGTCGATGATAATAGAGACGCTCTGCTAGGAGATGCTCGGGCACGGCAACACGAACGACGTCATAATCCTTCCCCGCAAGATGTCCCACACGGTGGTGCCAGCGGTGCAGCCGCAGACGGAACCAATACCACTTACGCCCCGACTTACCAGGAGAGACAACTCACAGCAGAGGAAGAAGAAGAGGAAGACATCCAGGCGATGAAGCATGAAATCCGAATGATAAAGCAACAAGATGTTTCTTCCACCCGTAATGCTCTTCGTGCCGCCTTAGAAGCAGAACAGACAGGTCGTGACACCCTGCTACGTCTCGGTGCTCAAGGAGAACGGATTCACAATACAGAAAAGAACCTCGATCTAGCCTCGAACCAAAACAAAATTGCCGACGAAAAATCCCGTGAATTAAAAAAGCTAAACAAAAGCATGTTCGCCATGAATGTGTCCAATCCATTCACAGGCGAACAACGACGACGTGCTCGTGACGAGGCCATCATTGACCGCCACCATGAGGAGCGCCTTCAGCGAGAAGCCACTCGACAAGCCGCATTCAGGACAGAGCAACGTATGGACGACACCTTCAAGACTTTGTCAAAGAAAGCTGCCAATGGCCCACAGAAACAAACAAACCTCGCCGACAGGTCCAAATACCAGTTTGAGGCTGACAGCGAAGATGATGAGATGGAAAACGAGATCGAGTCCAATCTTACTGCTATCGAGGGTGTTACGGGCAGATTGAATCTACTTGCTCGGGCACAGGGTCGAGAGATTGAGCAGCAGAATGCTGATTTAGGCCGCATCATAGGCAAGGTAGGTGTACTTTTTTCCCTCAAAATATGAACGAACCGTTGCCATAGGAATATTTGTGTGCTAACAAACAACCCTATAGAGTGACCATGTGGATGATCAGATAGTCATGAACAGTGCCCGTCTCGGTCGCATTCGTTAAGCATCGCAACATCGCCCAACTCTATACTTCGCTAGTAATCACTTTTCTGCAGCACCGTGACCTTCGCAAAATCTTCGCCGGATTCCCTTTCGCAAACGTGCTTCCCAGCAAAATCTAGATCTTGAAGTTCCACCTGCACCTACGATATCCCTCCCTAGCCTTAATATTTGTCCGCATACCCACAATGTCTCTGATCAGCTTACTGCACAGTTATTTCTTACTTATTTGGTTTCATTTGACGATATATCGAATCTTGCCGCGTTGATCGTGATGATGATATGATAGACTCTTCCTTTTTTGTTTCGTGTTCTTTTCCGAAGTGTTTTTAATCTACGCGGAGCTTCTCTCCGCACATATGCCCTTGGTCTGTTTGATAATTGCTGTCCTCTCATAGCCCAACCACTTGCGTAGTTTTGTAGCAGGCGTTAGAAATATATCCCGTATCTTTAATCACTAGCCATAGTTTTTCGCTCCCCTTCTTCCGAAGTGAATTTCCTTGTGTTCCAAAATCACAGTGGCAATCCAACACACTTTCGACAAACACAACAGCTAATATGTCGCTGCGGGAAGCTTGCCGTGTCTGTAGAAGGTAATATTCCACGGATCTCACTGAAATCGTCAATTAGATAATCAAAGTGAAAGAATACAAAAAATTAAAAATTAAAAAATTAAAAATTAAAAATTAAAATAAAAATAAAAAATAAAAAATAAAAACTGATCTCAAATAAATAGCCTCTAGACCAGCCAGGGCATGAAACGGTAAAGCGTTTAATATAGATTCTGCTCGGAACTACTGAACACGTTCCTTTGCTGATCCTAGATGAAATGTTAATTTATAAGGAGAAAGCGCGCTGCCCAATTAACATTTGGATTGCCAATCTGCCACCAATATTACACCCAGCTACTTCGGTGGTTCAAACCCTTGTGCCATGCCCTCCATCAAGCATCAAGGAACTCCAATAACTAAACAAAGAACGCTGACAAATGATCTTTTCGTTTCAAATTTTTCGTTTCATTATTTCTTTTCTGATAATCATGTATGCACCCTAGTTATAATCTCCTCAAGTATACCGTCGACCCAATAGGACGAACCAACCTTTCCAAAGGTAAAATCACCATCCTCCCCACTGTCGTCAGCCCGGACTCCAAGCTCAACACCGCCATTAAGGCTATCAAGTAGCGGACTTTCCAGATCTAGAAAGTCAAGGTTTACCTCGCGTAGGTTCACCGGTGAAGGCGTGGAGTTGTTGAAGAGCAATTGATCGGTTGTTAGTTGAGGAGCTAGGTTATGATCCGCTGGTGGTGGATGGGAGACTAGGATCTGGTGAGATTGCTGTGGCTGCTGCTCCTGTTGTTGTTCCGGGTTGGGGACTTCAGTCATGCCGTCAACCCCATAGTATACGTCTGCATCCTGAACAGTGAACTGATCTCCTGGTTGTTGCGGTTCCTGTTCCTGTTCCTGCTGATTTGGAGGCTGCGGCTGGGATTTCGTTAGTGGTGGCAGACTTTTCAGCCGAACTTCCACTGGTATGTTGGGTTGCATAGTCTCGATTGCCTGATCGCTATCTTTTCTAAGGTGAAGCTCACGGACGAGTGCAGGTAAGTCTGTATCTCGAGGGTATTGCCCTCTTGCAAAAGCGAAGTCAATTGACAATGAGAGCCTGAGGTAGAAGCGTGGCTGTCGAATGAAGACTTCAGACCAGCTCTTTGTGCGTTTGTTAGATGCGGCAGGTCCGTTAGATGTCTCAGTTACTGGGCTCGATTTGTTCGTGTCCTCTTTTCCGTTATCTCTGCTGCTGTTCGGGCTTGACATGATACTTGATGATTCGTCCGGCTGGAAGGATATGAGGAAGTTTTGTTTCTCCACAAATCTAAGGACTTCCTGAATGAGGAGAGCGACGTAATCTGTGCCGTCATACCTGTTTCGATATAGTTGCATGACCTCCGCATAGTAGCTCAAGCGCCGTTTGCGTGTTGCGGATTGGGATGTGGTTCCAGATAGCTTAACGTCAAGTGCATTTAGGACTAGAGGTAAAGCAGTGTATGCGATGCTTTAAAAGTCAATCGAATCGTTAGCCATAGGTCTATTTCATGTAAATAGACTCTCTTCACTGAAATGGAATTAAAAAGGTGACACGGGAATCAAACATACGCGCTGATGGGAAGATGTCGCGCCACTCCACGCATGAGTAGTCGTTTAACGCTTCTCGTGATACTTAATGCCGCATCTTCCAGTTCATCCTTAAGTCCCTCTAGAAGTTTACTGTAAGTCTCGGCGATAAACCTTTGATGTATCTCAATGGTAAGGGCCTGATTGTGACATAGGGCGACGCGGGCGGTGCTGATTATATGACTGTAAGCATGGCTCGACGAGAATCAATAGTCAAACGTCTATAACCATAGGGGCACTCACTGATAGTACATGAATGTCAAATTCGAGTAAAGGGTGACAGATTCATGAACGTCATCCGAGGCAAAGATAGAACCAAAGGCGGCTTTCGCCTCATTCGCCCATTGAGTTAGGGTAGCTCTAATGTCTTCTATCTCTCTGAGTGACTTCATAAATTCCTTCTCCGTCATCGATTTGGGTTGCGAGAACCCATTAGGCGCATAGACAATCATTATAACCCTGGTTAGCACAATAGCTAGCTGGCACTGGACGCGTAAAACATTTGCAAGAATGCGCTTGGTTTCCGCATTGTATACCTCGGACTTCTGGATCTCGTCTTGGAGATCCTCTTCAGCCATGCAGTCAAGAGACAGATCAAAATGTTGAGGTGTGATCTGAGGGTACCGGCGTAGCCCTAGGGGCAAAATTCTGTCGCGGAGTAGGATTGACCACCACAGTCGTTTCTTTGTCCCCCTGTGAGGATCGGTAACGTTTGATTTGCTATTATATGAATGCGCGCCGTAAAGAATGGCATGTTGGATAGCAGTTGTGAGCCACAGGCTCCCGGCGTGGAAATCGATGGACGAGCTCTGGTAGGTGAGGAGAATCGCACCCTGTGCCTTTGCTAAAACGTCGTTCTCCGCATTTAGATCAAAAAGAAGCTATACGGAACTCGTTAGTCTCCCTTTGTTGAGCAGCTTTGGCAATGGTAAGCAATAACTTACCTTTGCTCTCCGGTATAAAGTATTGCGGGCTATGCGGCTATCCACGAATCCAGCAGATTTGATGACACTTGGCGGAACAAACTGCACGGGAATGATTAGCAAGATTTTGACGTTTGATAGAGACAATATAAAAGTTAGGGCAAGAAAAGCTTACTGCACAGCTCGCAAAGAACATTGCCTGCACGATGAACAATGATATAGCTCGTGGCTTCTTTATCCCATCATTTCGATTTGCATACATACTCCAAAAATCTGCCTCGTTCAATACTGGTAGGCAAGGATGGACATGTAGAAAATATTGACGGACGAATTCATCCAGGATTGGCCCCGAGGGTACATGAAGACAGCCTTTCATTTCCAGAAATTTGACATCTTCAGTTGGTAAAGTGTGGAGATCGCGAAGCTCAATGAAACGGTAGAAGGAAAATATGACATTTGAATCTCCATTTGGACTATCTAACGAAAAAGGGAGGATGGTTCTAGGAAGGTGAGAATTCATCGACCTTAACATCTCGAACTGGGTTTCTTCTGGAGATTGTCAGCCTCGTTAGTGACTATATCACATCGAACAGTGTAACCCAGAAACAAACGGACACCAGCACTACTTACGTTCTCCCCACATCCCACCAAAGAAGGGAGGTTGCCGAGGAGGATCAATATATTGAGGGAAAGTCGGTCTCGCTAAAATACTTTCCATTGGCCCCATTCTACTGACCATTCTACTGACCGGGTCCGATTTATGCACAAGAGTACCATTTTGAGAATGCGGCTCGGGCCATTGGAGCTGAGTTCGGACACCACGGCTGCAAAGATTATTAGATCATGACAATATTAAAGCCCTGAAAACACAAATCTGGGGTAAAATATAACACGATGGGGCTTGATAAATCCAGACAGCCCTGCATCTTCGGACTCACGTTGGAGGTTGGGAGGAGCTCGATCACTCTACTTACCCTCTACAAGCACTCGACCGGATAGTACATTCATGGCCATCGAGCCGGCAGTTTGTACAGGGACTTCCATGAATAGAGACATCACAGCGAACTTTGCGTTCATGACACCAGGTACAGGCCATCCGAGCCCGCTTCCGCGGACGCTGTGAGGAATCCATGGTGCGAGTTTGCTGGCGAGAAGAGGACGGTTGAAGCTGTTGGGATGGCTGAGCAGATGATGAGTTTCCAAGTCCCAAGTCCATCATCATCCCGCCCATGCGATCTGCGATGCCGCGCTTTCAGGTTAGAGCAATGCAGAGTCTGATTCTGCCTGCTACCCCAAGACGACTTTCGCCCAACCACAACGTACCCAAGCACGCTATCAACAGGCTTCTTGGTTGTGAGCCGGACGCCATTATAGAGGGCTAGGCAATTGGCCAAGCGGGTTTCATGCACAGTCAACCAGAGGAGAGTTAACTGCGTAAGAACGGACTGCGACTACTCAAGTAGAACCTGGATCCGTCTGCATTATTTCTTCCTTCCAACCAACGGGTCCTTTCTCTCCCCAGATTTCTAGCTTTCGAGGTGGCCTTGGGTTTTCGAGGTAGTAGTAGCGCTATGTGGACATCCGCGGCTCAGAGGGATTTCGAGATGTTCAGGCACCTTGCTTGCAGCTCAGCTTCATCCGCGACAGGAGTAACTTATTGTTTTTTCCTCTTTTTCCCTTTGCTGTTTTTTGAATGTTCTCTGCCCAACGAACTCTGGCAACTTCTCGCATAACATTGAACGGCGATCCAATCCCGGCCCTCTAGGAGGGGTTGGAACGCTCGCCTGCAAAAAGTAGTATGATCAAAAGTTTTGGCGCTCCGCATCAGTTAGTTACCAGTTAACTTACCAGCGATATTATTGGATATGTTCTCCAATTTCCCAAGCCAACAGCCGTCCACCGAAAGGCTAATTACCACGCAACGTCGGCAGTAGCCCGGTAACACATTTATTATCCCACCAGTCTCTGTGCTGTGCGGTGGCCTGCCACATGACGAAAAATGTCTGTACTACGCTACTTCATGCTCCGAGTTTCAATCGATATTATTTCTGATACACTTTATTGTGAACAAGTCTGCCGCACAGAGGGCAACCCTTCCGTACCAATTGCACACCAAAGATTGAAATATTGAGCTGATCTCGCCGTCTAAACAGTCGTTCAATAGTTCAATGACACGCAGAAAGGCTACTTAGCTCATCTGGCAGAGCGTCTTTAACACTCTCATTCAACCAGTCACTGTGTCAACTCCAGATTGCGGGGTTACAGCACTGACCAAGCAGCTCGCTAGCCTCCTGAAATTCAATTCCCAACATTATTTACGAGAAATGATCCAGGGACCTTGCGGATTCATCGAAAGAAAACCAGGGGTCGCTGCCAATCAGGTCAGAGAGTCAGCTCATCAACGAAGGCAAAACTGGTAACTATGGGATATTCAGAGCTGCTCCATAGTTAACTCTCAGCGAAAAATCCAGAAATTGATAAAACTTAAAAGAGTATAAAAAAAAATACGTGCAAGCCGATCCCGCAAAACTCGGATCAAGGCTCGGCCCGATTTGTCAAGGAGAGGAAACTTTCGGCTATGCCCTTATCAATCTTATCGATTCCATTTCGTACCTGGATGGATGTGGCATCCATCCCTGATTGAATATGGGGTCCTGCAATAGTTACACTATTAAGCCTTTGTTCAGTTGTTACCTACCTGTAGTACAAATATGCGTGGCTCTACGCTATAGATTGTGTATCAGTCTTCCGGGTATATTTCATCAGAGCACCTGTTCATGAATATAAACTGTCTCCCAATGTTATGTTATGACCTACCTGGTAGAATATTTCTGCCAAAATTTTCTTCCCCGTCCGCTGCAGGACCGAACAAAAATTAAAAATAAAATAAAATTGCAAGAATTAAAATGCTTAAAAACTGCCACGAAACGTACAGGAATTGTTCCAACTTATATTCTCTGGGAGAAAAATAAAAGTGAAAGTAAAAGAACAAAAGGGCCCTGGCATAACCGGACGGGTCTCGGTGTGCATCCAGGAACATAAATAGATCTAAGGGGGATAAAGAAGAAAGTACATACATGTACTGTACATACATACGTAGGTAGATAAATCGGACAGGAAGGGAGGGGGGAACAGGCGAAGTGATGATGAGAGGGAAAATCCCCCCCCCCTGACTACAGCTACTTTTGTAGTGCTCAAGAAGGGGTGAAAAGACTACGTTACTGTTCCAATAGGGGTTTGAAGGCTCAGGAAGACCATATGCTGAATGACAAGGGATGAGAAGAGACGTTCGTTCCGTATAGATGCTTGGGACGGTTAAATGTTAAAATCAAAATGGAGCATGAGTGGATGTCAGACAAACTTCCAACATGGGAAAGATAGATACTTTTAAGTATATTATTGTATTTTGACAACAAAAAGAAAAAATCAGAATACAAACTGAGAAACAAGAAGAACAGGTGATGATAAATGGGGGGAAAGAGGAAATGTGATAAATACTGCAGGCAAAAAAAAAAAAAAAAAAAAAAAAAGAGAGAGAGAGAGAGAAAAGAAATCCCCATTCTTCAAAAAGCGTATTTTCCCCTCAACTCTGCATCTTGTAGTATTTAAAATCGCATCGCAACAATCAACAACACTCTTCACGAGGACGACCCGGTCCGCACTCCGATTTGCGAACAGAGCCCCAGCCCCATTTTTCCTTTTTGTTACCCAGGTTATCTCTTTCCGTGTCCTTTTCCCTCGCGTTTCATTCAGCCCTTCAGCTCTCTCGGGTTCAGCTAGTTATTAGTTACCCATGCTTTCGCCATTATTATTATTATTATTATTCCGTATCGTGTTGTTCTCGAGATCTGCGGCCACTATACCTCTTCCGGGGCGAACGCGCGTACGGCCTTGGAACGAAGAGAAAATTCTTGGGTGAATGTTGGAGAGGAAATCTTGGGAGGAGGGGTTTCGGTAGGGGGCCATGCCGAAGACGAAGACGAAGGCGAAGGGGGAGGGGGAGCTTTCTTCGGAGAGGGGCAAGGGTCCGTGGAGGACGGATTACTTTGTTTTGATTGTTGGCTTTTTTTAAGCCGCAGCCATTGATTGATGAGGAGAGGTGAGATAGAAGTCGTCATTTTTTTACTCATGCTTTTTTTTTTTTTTTTTTTTTTTTTTTTGTGTATGTTATGTTATATAGTTTTATATACGAGTGAGTGGAAGGGACTCGTCGTGAGTAGAGTAGGCTAAAAAAGCACATATTTCAACACCTTTCATGGCATGAATTAGTTTTAATGATGAACTAATATTTCCTGTCCTTTCGATCTCGAGTCAAATGTGGCGAATCTAGACATAGCCCATAGCACACATATTTATCCCGATTCCGATTCAATAAAAGGTTATGAAAAGGGAAGCGAAGGGGGCGAAGGGAGATAGGATAGGCCAGGCCTCAGGAAAGCCGCTTCAGAACGGAACTATGAGTTTGTCTCGGGTCTGGTAACTTCCAGCGGACCGAAAAAAAAGCTTCCAAACAATGGCTTGGAAAACGGGATATACATAAAAAACAATAACCACATTTGAAGAAGGGTTTCTTGATTATTTTTTTGTTTATTAAATAAAGTTGCGAGCCAACCATGAAAAAAGACCGCCCATCATTTGAAATTCGTGCAGAGAGGCGGTTCAAAAGAAAAGGAAAAGAAACCAACAGAAACAACAGAGGTAGCTTAGTTCAGAAGAGGAACGTTACGTAAGATAATATCCACTAATAATAGAGATTAGACAATTAAAGTTAATAGATATATATAAAAAGAGCGAAAGAAATTATAAAATAATAAGAGGATAAAAGACAATGCAATAAATGTGCTGCAGGGGGAATATAGGAAAGAGACCAAGCGGCAAATTATTTGATCTACAAATGACGTTGCGGGCAAAGCGCAAGTGTAAGGGGTGGAAAATAATAAGCCAACTTTAAACCCCTGGTTCATCCAACACATTGCCACTTACTCAAGTGGCACTATGGTTAGGTGGCAGTGATAAAAACACGCAGACGACAGCTGCAAGGGACTGAAGCGGGCATATCCTGGTAATGGCTAGGGAAGCATTAAAGACATGGGACAATAGCTAAAGTATTCAGGAGCTCAAAAACTCGAAAACAAACAAGAGCCAGGGGCGAATAGTGGCAATGGAATAATATAAGAAGAAAAATTTTCCAAATTGTAATAGAAAAATAGACAAATGATCAACATCAAGGCATGAACAAATGAAAAATAAAATGAAAATGAAAAAAAAAAAAAAAAAATGAAAAAGAAAAGAAAATGAAAATGCAAGACATGATAAGAAGCAACGAACGGCAATCGGTCCACACTGTGGTATCAATGAAAGAGAAAAAAAGGAGACAAGTGATACGGAGGTAGAAAGAAGTGCGAAAAAACGCAGAACCAAATGCAGAAACAATACGATATGCCAGGACAAAAGGAGATGGAAAATCCACGGAGAAGCGACCGGCCCTAGTCTAGCGAGGGTATGTATAAAACTGAGCAAATGAAACGAAAGGAATAAAAATATGAAGTCGTCCCATTCCACGTATAGGAAGCAAAAAAAGGAAAAAAAAAAAAAAAAAAAACTAGCGCCTCTATCGTCAAAAAAAAAGACATGACACAAACACACCAAAGATAGGAAAAAAGAATATGTGTTTCCCCCTCAAATCCGGTGCAATTCCCCTACCTTATGCCATCCGAACAAAAAAAAAAAAGAAAAATTTCTCACACTGGGGTATCTTTGATTTCCGGCCGTGAAAACTCGAAATCCCACAACTCGAGCCGGGTGAAGAGAACTAGCAAAAGTATAGCAAAGAAAATATATATATAATACAAGCAGTAAATGGAGTGTGGGTAGAAGTAGGAAAAGTGGTAAATTAAAATCTTGCAACCCAACCTAGAGTCGTATATGACGATGTGAAGAAGGTGGATAATCGTCGAGCGAGGGAAATAAAGAAGGAATATTAGGGATTAGGAAGACCAAGGTTGGTTTTCCGCACGCACTTTGGGTTATGCCTGATCGAAGCAACGCCGCGTGCGAAGAAGTCGTTAAGAAGGTTGATGGAGTTTCTTTTGTAGAGAAGACGGACGAGAGAACATCAAACGGCAGTGAGGGGCCATTTTGGTGCAAGGAGAAGAGGATTTTTATTCTTCTTGCTGTTCAGGGGAGCCGGACTCCTTTTCGCCCTTGTGGACTTTGTTGTGTCGACGAAGATTCGATACCACGGAGAAGTGACGCCCACAGCCTGGGAATTCACAGGGGAATGCTGTTGGCCAGAGTGGCATCAATGTCAGTACTCCTGTTGATGGCAAAAATCTGGAAAGCTTCTCCTCCGAATAGATATATATATCGGTTGGGACTGGACTCACGTTTTTCACCTGTGTGACTGTACATGTGGGTCTGCAAGGAGGAAGGTCGGGTAAATCGCTTATCGCAGACTTTACACTTGTGTTTCTTCTGCGTGTTGGATGGGACTTTTGAGCTGAACTGGCTCATCATTGACTGAGGCCCGGATATGCAGCCATGCATGAGGCTGGACGGTCGAGGGAGGGTTCGCGATGGCATGCCATCGTAAGATTCTGAAGTGGTCGAGCTGTAGTCGGTGACGGAAGAATCGACAGAGACCACTGACGCACTGTAATACGGATAATTGCCCGCAGACGAGATCGATGAGGCTGAAGAATGTGCAGCTGGGAACCCGTAGGCTTCCCTAGGTCCCCTGGCATTCTGAGGGGCATATATATTTCGCGGGGTTGCCAGATCTTGGCTCAGCGCAACCATTCCTCGACTAGCATCCAGGGCATCGCCATACGTGGACGGCGGTGGCGGTTGTGACTGGACCGTTTGCGACGGAGCCTCGTTGCTGAATATCAAGTTAGCAAAATCGCACTGAAGATCCTCTATTTTTTCCTTATGTTTTCTTTTTTTTTTTTTTTTCTGTTCAATCTGGTGAAACGCTAGAATCATGGGACAAATCCAAAGAAAGGGGAAGAAGCAATGGACGAACCCTTGGGGCATATTCCTCGCATTCGAGTGTTGGTGATGGTGTTGCTGTTGGTGTTGCTGCTGCTGCTGCTGCTGCAGGGATTGCGCATATTCCATGGGAGGATAGTTAGCCGGAGTGAATGGAGCTATTGGAGACGGCGATGTATAGCTTTGCGCCTGTTCAAAAGTTGTCCGCGGAATCTCTTGGGGAAGAACAATCATCTGCTCATGACCGCCATACGCAGGAGCAGGGCTGTAGTTGCTGCTCGGGGCCATTGATGGGGCAGGCACCGGCACGCTCGTATATGGCATAGAGATAGCAGTAGGTCGAGAAACTTCCTCGCGCTTTATAGTCTGATGCATCGCGACAGAAGTTGCGGGAAGAGATGTAGGGTAGATGGGTTGCGGAGGATGAGCGGACGAATGCGCTGTCCAGGCTTCATTGAATTGGGGAGTGCCGGGATGAACTTGGCTCTGATACGCATGGTCGTAACCCATCCCACCGCCATACTGGCGGTTTTGGTTTTCGATAACCATAGTCATAGGGAAGGTTGGGCGTGGTGATAGCTAAAAATGGCAAGGGGTTCGAGATGCAGAAAATCGGCGGGTCTGAACGACAAGAAAATAAGAGGGAACGTCAGATGGTCGATCAATTGATCGGTTTGAGTCTTTTTCTTTCTTTCTTTCTTTTTTTTTTTTTTTTTTGTTCCTCTTGTTTCTTTTTCTGCTGCTGGTGGTCTCGTCTCCTCAATAGGCTTTGAGCCGACTATTTCTCCGTGATAGGCAGAGATCTAGCTCATGTATGTTGTTGGTTTGAGTGTATGTCAATATGTATGGACTGCAGACAGAATATGCAAGACTCGACAGAGTCAGTGCGTACGTATAGTATGCCTGTCCGTCTGTGTGGAGGTATATGTAGGAAGCCGGGTTCAAGGAAGTGTACCCAGGTATGTAGGACCGGAATGGGGGACAGACAGCTCGTGTGGTTCCTGATGTACGCAGCGTAGTTACAGTGCGGAACAAAAAAAATATAAAAGCGAGTTCAGATCGAAGGTCTGGGGAAAAGGGGATCGGCGCAGTTAAGAAGAAACAGGTGAGGGAGAGAAATCGCCAGAGTTGACGAGAGGAAGCACAAGGTCGACAGATCGTACGGAGTTCTGTGCAGGATAGGATAGTTAGTTAGTTACAAGGTACAACGGCACAACGCCGCCGCAAAGATAGTTTTAAGTAGTTACTTGTACCTAGCGTTATTCAGTTCCCAGTTCCCATCTTGGCAGATAGGGCGGTATGTATCGCTGGCCCGTATGGCCGCCGTATGGATGGGTATGGGTTGGTATGTAAGATTGCGTGTATTCTGTATGCCGTACTCTCTTTGTAAGTACAGACTGTATTGGTCCAGGAGATCTCAGCTGGGTATTACTAGTTCTAGTTAACTTATTACTTACCATAGTTACCACTCCTACTTCTATCAGGAGAATTCAAATATTAAATGCCAGATGGTGTGGAGCTTGCACTGCAGTAAGTTGGAGCATACGAAGATTGAGCCAAATCACGGAGAACAAGATACAGGAATAACAAGAACAGCAGCAACAGTTAATTATTATGATTTCAAGCAAGTCAATAAATGCCTAGAAATGTCAAAGGAAAACTGGGTTGAGAGGAAGCACTGTGAGGAGCAGACAGGGACATATCAAATCACAGAAGAAATGCCAGACCAACTCAACTCCACTCCCGCAATCCTCGAAGCCGCGAATTGGCTGGGTTTTAAGATCCAGGAAATGCGCCGCCAGGTACATGTAATGTACCATGTACCGTCCACGAGCAAAAAACTCCTGGGCCACATCTTCCTCCTGGTGGCCCGTACTAATAATAACCTTAGAATAAGAAGTTAAAGTTGTTCCTCCATCAAGCTCCAAGCGCTGTCCCAAGGGTCGGCTTTTCCAACTCCAGATGTCCGTAACCCATTAGAAGAAGAAGCCACTGACTACGGAATAACTATGTATATATATATATATATATATATATCGTGGCTTAGTATCGGTATATAAATTACATGAAAAATGACGTAATGAGTGTATTTGAAAAATGAGGCTTCATTGTAATTTTCGACAAGCAATTATTCCAATCCGGCAACATTATTATTGCAAAGTTTCTCTTCGTTTTTAGAAAACGGCATATCTACAAGAAAACAATTCGATCGTAGTCTACGTCAGGCGCTCTTGTGTGTGCCCATATTCCATTATTTCGAAGGAGACGACGACGACGACGACGACGACGACGACTACTACTACTTTGGTGGATCTGGGTGGGGAAGGGAGACAGAACGAGTTTCTTGTTCTGGTCAGTTGGTTCACAGCAGAAGCAGAGGTCGGTCGGTTCGCGGGAACTGCCTGCGCAAGGGCCAAGGGATGCCGTTGTGGTTGGCTAGTTAGTGCCACCGACGCGGGTTTCTTTTGGGGAAAGCTGCAGATCCTTACTTGGGTGGCTTAGAATCCAACGGCTCCACCCTTTACCTACTCCGTACAGACTACGGAGTACAGTGCAGTGGACTTGCCACAAGGAGAGGAGTCAAGTAGTAACTAATAAGTGAACAACTGACAATTATTTATTAATTCTTCTTCTTCTTATTTCTCTGCTGAGGCTTGTGTTTAGCGGAACCACTGCTTGAGGTTGATGCTGGCAGGGATACCGGCGGGTGTGGGGCTCGAACTATAACTATAGTTTTACTTTTTTTTTTTTTTTTTTTTTTTTTTTTCGCTCCCAGATTTCGGAGGGATCCTGGACTATGGATTACTACTACTACTGGATACTCGATGTGAGAGGGTATGGATGGATGGACGGATGCTGCTTCCCCCTTAGAAGTTGCAACAGGATTTTTTTCCGGCTTTAGCGGCCTCAAGCTGCTGCGATGTAAGCACTCGGACAAACCCTCCGAACTGGATCAGAAGTTGAGCGCTTCACACTCAGGGGGATTTTCTGCTCGCGTCGGGACAGCAATGCTTGTCCAGCTTCCCTTTAGAATTATACTACCCCCTACGAGTGGGGATGGCAGCCGCGTTTTGTTATCGCCAAAGCCCGGAAAGAGAGAGTGGCAATTTCTCGCCATGTCCTCATTGCTCTTCATGCCTGCCATCAGGTTGCGGTTGAAACAGCACGTTTACCATGGACATCAACACACCTACATGCAAGGAAAAGAACAATCGCAGTCTTTTTTTTTTTTATCACATCTGTTGCAATAGCGACTGGGATGACATCCACTGCCAGGTAACACAGCCAGGAGGCACAGTCGTGAACTTGACAGGTGTCGTCCGCCTCACTGTCACCCGGGGTTCCGATGGGTTTCCCATCCGTTCTGTTGCATTTTCGAGTTCCTAGACTTGCGAGACGCCGTATGTACGGACCTCGTATACATGTACGACTTGGCGATGCCAAGGACAGATCAATCCGGTTGGTATGGTTTCCAGATCCTTGCCGCTGAAAGCCAATTGATTTTCCTTTTTTCCTTTTTTTTTTTAAAAAAAAACTGTTCCTCTCTTCCTGCTTCCTCCTATTTCTATGTCCTTCTCCGAACTCCTCAAAACAGGGCAATGGAAGCTGAAGCTCTGAATCAGAAACGCTACAAGGGCCCAAAAAAAAGGAGCAAGATGCCCAGTTACATCTCACCCCTGCCAAAATAATCTGCGAAAGGGGTGCAAAACTTGTTTCAGAAATTATCCATGAGGTCTTCTATGTGCGCGGCTTAAAATATTCAACGAAAATGCCAGACGAACGACAGGGTTTGCAAGTATGACATACCATTGACAGCAATCGGGTGCCCAGGGGGCTGACGCCCCCGATCTAAAATTTCCCAGGGTCCCCTCCAACTACGGAGTACCACCATCTAGATGGATGGAATTTCCCCCCCTTTTCCCCATCCCTCTCTCAAATCCGAGAGCACCCCCCTGAGTCCTGAGTCATTGGCAAGGACTGAAGAGGGTTAGCAAAATAGCTGAGTGCGCAGGTCATGTGCCACTGCCCAACCGCATGCCAGGATGCATTCCCCGCCTCCATTTGCATCGGTGCATCCTCCTGATGAGAGTGACAGGAAAACAGCACGAAATGTCCAGCTCAAAAAGAAGAGGGGTTTCGGAGAGGGAAGCCGAGGGCAAGACAAATAGGGTGGGAAAAGCACCAATCAGATGAGAAGGAATTAGTAAAAATTCCTTCCTCCCGCCTGAAACGCGGAGGGCGGAGAACAAAGAAAAATAAAATAAAATGAAAGACCTTGAAGAATTTTACTTCTCATTGTTTTTTTCCGTCTGCTCTCGCATCGTCACATCGCATCTTCTGTACAGGGAACATGCCTAGGCACGGGCCGAACATATGCTTGCATCGAGGGTGAGCACGCAGAGACTACTACCCCCATACTGGCAGCCAGATATTTAAGCAACTTTGTGCCCCCCTTTTTTTTTTTTTTTTTTTTTTTTTTTTTTTTTTTTTAAATTTCAAATCTTTTCCATTACATTTCTATGTCAGTTTATTGTGGCAATCAATGATAGCTCAATTTAGACATCCTTTACAAAAGTCCCACCATGGAAAAAAAAGAAGAAAAAAAGAATCCTCTTTTACCAAAAATGGCCGAAAGAAGATAGGAAAGAAAAAAAAAAAAAGGAAAGAAAAAAGTCGAGCAGTGGAAGGACAAAACCGAAAAAAAAAAAAAAAAACCAAAAAAAGGACGAGATAAGATGCCAAGAATCTCACAACCACCTTTCCTCTCAAAAAGGCCGCGTAAGCTCAGCTGGGATGTGCATAAATCGCGGGAAAACAAGCAATCTTGGTTCGTGTTTAGTGGAGAGGATGGCTGGCATTGGCTGCGGGGATGTGGTGCCTGTCTAGTGTCGGCCAAGCCACTAAACCTAGGAAGTGTGGGGCTCTACCCCACCTGCACACCCTCACCTCACCTCACCTCACCTCACCCCCCCAAAAAAAGAAAAGAAAATTCCACTAGGGTCAGGCCAGCGAGAGGCAAGGCCACTACTTCTTTGTTTGGTGAGGTTTGTCGTAAGGCAAGCCCGGAGCTTAACCAACATCTTAATAGGGACTGCGCCGGCGGACGGAAAGCTTTTTAGATAGATAATTCAATAGTGGGAATGAGAGAGGAATGGTCATTTCAATACGTTTTTCTACGATATGATAGTTAGTATCATCCCACAGTAACTTTGTATATACAAATAACAATGTACTGTACGGAAGAACACTCCTTACAATCATTTCCATTGTGATTAGTTACCAGAATTTTTACGTCATCTTTATTTGTGGAGTCGTTTGCCTATTGTGGACAAGGTTAAAAAAAGAGTTACAGGGGTAAATCGCGGAAAGCTTAGCCTTGCAGAAACATGATTTGCCATTTTCTACGGAGTACGTACGGAGTACAGACATTATTTTTAATTTACACAACAGTAATAACTTACACAGTACCTACATAACATCGATAACTTACTGTACAGAAAAGGAATATTTTGACTTCAGATCATAAAGCAGAAATTCTTCAGTGTATATATAATGAGTGAGTCTGTGTCACACAGTCACAAATTGAACAAAGATAGCAGAATCTTCTCTTTTCTCACGATGTCTGTGCTGTATCTGCATCAAAGCAAAGGCTTAATTAAAAATGCAATTTAGCTGGCAATCTCTAGCGCAGGTGGCACTATCAATTTCCAAATGATCTGATTTATACTCCTTACACAACCCGGAACATGGCTGAGGATCGAATTAGTTCGTGGTGGTTGAGAATTTCTTTTCCTTTTTTTTTCTGTTATATATAATAACTATTTCTTTTACTCTTTTTACTTTTTTTTCTTTTCTTTTCTTTTTCTTTTTCTTTTTCTTTTTTTTTTTTTTTTTTTGCCCCTCTCAATAAATAATGCAACCTTTTCTCAACTGGTGTGCTTGTTTACATTTCAAATCCTTCTATCTACCCCTTCTTTACCCTTCTTCAAAGGAGACGTTTTACATCAAGATATAAAGCCGCCATGGGCCACCCATCTTCAACCGCCATAACCCTACCAATATGTGACCGTCTCCTGTAGCCCGTCCAGGCTGTCCGGAAACCCAAACCAAGATATGTGGGACTATTATTCAGACTGTCCCGCCCGCCGTCGACACGACAGGCGGGAATCCGCTTGCACCTTTAGCGCTTCAGCCACCTCGGCCCTGGCGGATTGAAGGATATGCTGACTATTCGCCAAGCGCCTAACTAACGTAGCTGTTGGGGAGGGGGGGGGGTCCGACCGACCCCGAATACGCAAGGCGCGCTTTCTCATCCGCTACCCCTCATTATTGCTTGCTAAGCTCAATAATAGCCAGTTAGTTAAACTACTACTATTATATGTCCAACAATACTCCGTACTGTGTAAATGCGAAGGAAGCTGCCGCTCTGTCTGCTTCACCGCCCAGGGTCGGATCGAGGAAATACGGTGCGCTTTTTTGGAGGGTTCAAGTCCGCAAGCCTATTTAGCTGCATGGTTTGGTTTTTTGTTTGCGCTTTCCACTACTTGATAGGCGCGCCATCGTGAACCCCGTGAAAAAGATACGAATGCGCCCTGCAACCTGCAACGAGAGGTGAGTGATAGTGAAGTTGGATGAAATAAGGATAAAAAGGATATGCAGCCTGTCTAACTCTGTGCACAATCCAAACGCGCGAAAGTCAAAGAGTTGGGGCGCATGTACTCTGTAGTTATCTGTACGTACCGTTTTGAAACCTTCCTCGCCTAACTCGGCAGAAGCATGATAACTGGGATAGATATGTAGCTTCCATTTTGATCCTCTCCAATCTTCCATTTCTTCTCTCAAAAATATCATTTTTACCCCATCGTTTGAATTATTTTTCTCTTCTCCGAGCCACCCAAAGCAAATTTGAAATATCTCTTCTCACTTACTTATTCCAGTTGAGCTCACGGGCACGCCACGCCATATTTATTTCATGCTTGCATTCATTATTTTCAGATTCAGATTCAGATTGACAGCGCATGCAGCACGCATACATTCATATGGAGTACGGTACGGACATGCATAGCTCAAAACCTTAAAAGGTGCGTGTAGCTCCTGGCAAAGCAAAATGTATGTACCCAATACGCATCGGCCTTTTTGATATCAAAAACTTCTCCCCCGGAAGTATCCCATGTGCATTTTTCTTCTCCATAAAAGAAAATGTTCGCAATCGCAAGAAAATGACATGAAGTAGTTGCCGAGCCACCCAGAGAAACACCCTGACCGTTCTTGTGAATCTCTATTTTTCTTTTTTTTTTTCCTTTTCGTTTTCCCCCCCTCCCCTCCTAACCGCATGAAAACAAGCTTGCTGTGGCTGTTCCTTTATTCCCCCGCGCTGGTCAATTGTGGCTGGTGGCATTTAAAAATAAAATAAAAATAAAATAAAATAAAAAAACCCAATTATTGAACTGGGCTTGTTTTAGCCAGGGGTAATGTAGAAGGGAAGGGGAGAAAGAAAAGGGATGTTGCGCTGTGCACAGCGCGCACACTTACACTTACCTTGAAGCTACAACTGTAGGGTATCCATGGATGTAATAATTAATGTATATTTCAGTGGTCTGAGATGGGGAGGGGTGCGGTTGTGAAAGCCGCTGGATTGACCGGGGCAATGAATGGTGTAAGTTATCTGGAATTGCTGGGGCCAGTATTGCACGCCGCGGACTGGTCTGTATATTTTACTATTTGCAAAAAACTGCTATCACGACAGCAAGATAGAGAAAGCACTGTTACTCCGTAGTGAAGGAAGGTTGAAAAATAAATTACATGATGATGGCCTTTGGGCCTTGTAACTTGGATTTTGGAAATATTTTATCATTCCTGGTAACTTAAACGCCTTGTATGGTAAAGTAACTACAGGGTATGGTATGTGGTTGTTTCGATTGTTCACAATCACTGCAACTTCCCCAGATTACACATTCGATACAGGGGGGAGTTTTCCCATCAAGGTCTGTATAGGGGCTACATGGGCATATGAAGTAGGATACTGATACTGTCTACAATGCTGTAGAAGAAACGTCTGGGTCCCCCCATGTTCTAATTCCTGCAAGCTGGAAATAGTTGATTGATTACGATAAGGCGTTTGAATCTTGCTTCTTCTGCCAAAGAATAAAAGGGCCGCGAGGTCACAGAAGCTTCCTCATTCCAAACAATTAACTATTTGATTCACAGTCGAAGACGGAATATGGCGTCATTGTGCCGCAATAATACCATTCTCATTATCATTATAGTTGCATTATCCCCGTCCCGCTACTATTACATTCCAAGGAGTGGCTGCAAACCCTACGAAAGCTTATCAAAAAGCTTCAGGCTCACAGTTCTTCCCGCGAAGGCGGCAGAAAGCTTCCCTTAAAGAAATAATAATATCTAGAGAACGCGTTAATATGATCGCCCGGATCTTTATCAGAATAGCAAAATGGGCCTCGCAAATCATCAGCCAAGCGCCTGGCGATCTGCCGCCAGGCACTGTTCACTTTTCTTGACACTCCACTGGGTTTGTCTTAGCCAACGCCTTTTTTTATTTTTTCATCTGCAAGATCTGAAACATAAACCTACCAGCCAGCAGCCTTTCTCAACCACGTTTTTTCGGCCCGATCGATTTCTTGTCTCATATTTTTTTTTGATAGATCCGTCTAAGAAGCTGGCGCGGATCACAGGGCGATCAAAAACCGCCAGATTGTCTCTGATGCAAGTCAGGAACGCGCGCGTGTTTTTTGTATTATTATCTATGTTGGCAGCAGTCACTCTGTTTGCTGTACGACTACTCCGTAGCGATAGAGATATGCATCCGACCCGGTATGGGATTGTCGCTTCCTGGCTTTTCTGACTCTTATCGCCCAGCAGAAGAATGCAAAGCAACGTGTCCCTGCTATCGCTCCAATAATGAATGCTTCTCAATCCCACGAAGACGTGCCGCTTTCCATAGTAAACGCTAGCCTGTCGGAGCCGAGAAGGAACAGCAACTGGCCACGACGACGAACGAAACACTGGGAGATCTCGATAAGGCTGAATAACGACAAGGGATCAATCTTTTGGAGCCGCCAGGCCCAAGTCCATGATAAACCCAACCAAACGAACCTCATCTCCATTGGAAATAAGCGGGCAGCGAGACTATTTAAAGTCACAAAATACATAATTTGTCAGGAGCCAGAAACTGCATCCCGCATTTTCGTTTGTCAATGTGCTTACAGCGTAGATGTATTTCAGTCGCAACTTTTTGAGTATCGGCCATACATACGGAGTACGGAGTCCTAGCTGTTGAACCAACCAAAAACCAAAAAGCAATAAGAAAGAACGAAAGAAAGGCCCAGCATTGCCCAGACTGTCTAACCCCTAACCAGGGCCCGCTGATTACGTTGCCCTCCCTTCCCAAGCCCGTGAAAACCCTGGTTTAGGGGCTTGGCTAGTGCAGCAGATGAGATAGATCCACGCTGGACGCCATCGAAAATTGGGGCAACGGGCATGGTTGTTCGGGTTCTCCAACAGGAGGAGAGGAGGCAGAGGAAAGCTCCCACTGGCCGCCGGCCCAACCAATAACCGTCGAGAAAGAGCTAGCGTTGGTTGCAAGCTTTCCTTCCCTGGGACATCAGAATCAAGGACTCAAAACCAGAGTTTAGGCGGGGAGGAGGGGATATCGGCTTCCAACGCCACGGCAAGAGCATTTGCAATTGCGAGGATGCGGGGGGATGCTTGCTTCATGACCAATTCTCTGGCGCATTACTGGTGAAATATTGAGGCAAGTTTTGGCTTGATAATATAAAAAGAAATCCAGGAATCAAAATCCTGAATCGTCCCGACCCCAGCCGCAGCTGAACATGGGCGGCGCTTGGAATAATATGGTCGTGTCCAAAGGAAGAAAGAAGCAAAAGAGACACGGAGACAAAAAGTCACTAGTTCACCTCTCGGGTGGAGAAAAACCGCATCTTCCTTTTTTTAATTTTTGTTTTCTTCCCTTCTCCCCAAAGGTGTTGAATAATGAAGGGTGGAGCATCGTAAAGGGACAAAAGAATAAGTGCCGGGCCCGCACACCACAACCAGGAGCAGTAGCGGCCAGCAGGGCCACCAAATCAGGGGTCTTGTTGATCGCGCCGGGCTTCCCCCTTGTGCCCCATCTGTACGGAGTACTCCGTAACATTATGAAACACGCTGTCGATTTTGTAAGGTCTCCGCCCTCTGGCGGCCCCAATGCATCATCACTGCCGCTGAACCTCCATATGATCGATCGTCCACGGCTGTGCGATTGCACGCTCGCAACTTCTGCGTCTCGTAAACCACGGCGGAGGATAATACTTTGGGCCCCTGATTATTTTCCACTCCTTTTGCTGACTATCTTTTTACACCAGGATTGTGAGCTTGAAAGAGTTTTTATTTCTTTTATTTTTGTTTTTATTTATTTATTTTTTCAGAAATTCTTCTCCTTGCGCCAAATTGATCGCTCTGGCCAATGACAGAAGACTTACATTCCATCAAATGGGTGCGGTGCCACCTTGCTTTTCCCTTTTGCAGAGGCCCCACCCCTGAGAGAAGTATAGTACTCCGTAGATGCAAAAGAAAGAAAAAGCAAAAAGCAATGGGAAAAGGGAAAGAATTATTAATTATTATTGAAAACGAAGTCACTGACTAACTCCATCTATCTTCTTCCTCCGCATTTTTGAAAGGAATTGATTTTTGTGGTGTATCGTATCCTGAGCAGTAAAATACCATCAAATTTACAAATACATAGTTACCCCTGAAATATTTGATACGGAATGAATTTCCACCACACCTTTCGAGCAGCTCTTCTTCAGCTTCAGAATGCCTCTGCTACAGTGCGTGCGTGCTGCTATTAATATTTAATAATTAATTGTGCATTTGCTGCTTCTACAGAAATCCCTCCACGCTTTGTCACGTTTTGGGGGGGGGGGGGGTCAGGCTACTTCCTCGGCGTTGCTTTACTCCCTAATAACATCCAACAAAATGAAAAAAGAAAGAGAATTCTTCCTGCAATAATCGATTTTGCCAAGAATAAATTTAGAATCGAACACGCAAAATTGCTACTTCGACTGCATTGTTATTATTATATTTTATTGTGGAGTGGAGTGATTAGTTAGTTCTGTTCTCATGAAATAATAACTTAAGTTATTGCTCGCGCACATGCAATGGAATGGCCTGATGATGTCAGAGCTTATCCTGGGGACCACACCTCACTCACAACCCACTCTTATCCAACATACGCAGTAGATGCGGAGACACTTTGTTCTGCCGGGGCGCCCCCTTTTGACATTATTATTAGGTTGAGATGAGAGGTAGGTTAGGAGGAATCCTGGAAAGAAGTGGGCTACGAGCTATAAAATAGCAACACAGCTCAAGTTTCGGATATCCTTTTTTTAACTTGGTAAATTATTAATCTTCATTTTTCCGCCACTGGATGAGGGTTACGTTACGAGGAATAAATATGACTTCCAATTGGATGAGTATTCTGTTTGGACAAATATCCTGTTCAGCCTAGCGGGATTGGGCTCGCACTTGTGGTGTTCTTCCTACTCTCAATTCTTATATTATTACAACATGGTAGTTAACTATGGAGGAACGGAACAAGTAGGTTAGATAGGAACTGATAGATCGATGGGCTGCCCAGCATGATTTTATCTAGTAGTCTGGTAAATATATATTATGTATTTTCTTGCAGTCTTATACGCACCAGGTATATAGATTATTTATAATTGTCATGAATATGTGTAATCTCCCTCAACTCCTTTTCCCCATCATTTATTAGATCCCTTGTCGGAATAACCTTCGGTTGCTTGCTGTTCCATCACACAAAATCCGGGGAAGTTTGATCTCCGGAAAATCCCTCGGCCCGAAATGTTTAGGGGGTTGCAAAATTAACACAAAATCGGATGGATGCTGAATATTTCAGACCAATTTGATGTTTTCGATCTTTATTTGTTCCGTAGGACTATACGATCACAGTTTCTTGTTCCCGATTGGAAAAAATCCCGCGTGGAAAAAGTTTGGGCTTTTCTAGGCGCATTTGTTTTAAATTTGCTGATCGTCGGTCGATGAGCTTTGGAATGGTCGGGGGTAAAAAAGGGCGGAATCAAAGATACTGACTGATAAAGATAAAAATCTAAAATTTGCCTTTCTCTAACTACCCAGGTAGGGTAGGTAGTCTTTAATATGCAATGTCAGCCCAGCCTTTGAGAGAAAGTTGCTGCGTAGCATAAATGAAACAGCTCCATGAATGATATAAATTTTTCCGATTCAAGTATACATGCTTTTCCCAGGTATTATTAAAGGTACAGATAAATAGTAATTTGAAAAGAGAGACGAAGATATAAACGCTGAAACGCAATCGCCAAAAAGGAGGAAAACGGCATAAGAAATGATGATAGGTAAATAACAAGTTAGAAACGAATCAAAGCGAATATAAAATTAAAAAGGCTTGGACATCCAGCAAGGAACGCCTGTTCAGGATAAAACTATCATAAATCACAAAACAATCGCTAATTCATGCCTCGCTAAACCTTCGTCTTCGAGAGTAGGATAATAAGGTACCATAGCATCCGCCCCTTGAACATAGGCATCATTGTAAAGCCTCCAATATGGCTGCCTTACTTTTCTTGCCGGGTGGAACAAGCCTGCCCAAACATAGTTCATCACAATGCCAGTGCCCACGGCCATGCGGATAGCCTCGATAGCCTCGATTATACGATCAATGACGTGAGGGCTTGTCTCGAAAAGGTTAGGATAAAGCAAATTGAGGAGATGGAGCATTGCATCTTCACATCCAAGGCCAACAACGCCAAGAGCAATGTGCTTCACTACGCTGGCTGCTGTTTGTCGATGTACTTGGTCCCGGTCTATCAATGCGTCTTCAAGCAGTGGGGTGACAGCGTAAACGTAGTCTTTTGCCATTTCACCGATGTATTCAAAAAGGAAGGACATAGCTTTGAGTACGCCATTCTGGACGTTCAATTCTGGTACTCGATACTCGTTCATAAGGGCAGGTAGAACTGTGAAAGGGGCACAGGTTTCGGCAACAATACCGATGGCAACAGCTGTACAAACGCGGGATTGACGTTCTTGCACGCGAAGGTTGTTGAGAAGGGTAGCAAGGACGTCCTGGGGGCCGATTGCCTTTGCAATGAAGCCAAATGTGTTATTAGCTGCACGACGAATACCCTTTTTGTGAGCTTTGAGCATATCGAGCAACTCAAAACAAATTCGCATCCATTCTCGGGCATTAACGGATTCCGGCCCTCGATCCGCTATCCGACCAACTAAGTCAATTGTGTTCTCTTGTACTTTCTCGTGGCGATTTCGTAAAATAGGAGTGAGACGGGGTAACAGATCTCGAATAGGTGGCTGCATTTGATTGATACCGACAACGGTGACAATAGACCGTAAGGCTCCAAGAATGGAACCAAGGACTTCTGGATACTCTTCGCCGAGATATTCGTAAAGGACGATACCGAGTTTACCCATGAGGGCATCCTCACCGCACTGTTTCATGACCATAGCAATGCGGGATATAAGATCGGCGGCCTGTTGACGAACTGTTGCGGACTTGTTATTCAAACGCCAGAGAATTGTACTGACAATCTGAGGAAGATACGGCTTGCAACGAGTTCCAAGTGCGTTGACAACGGTACCAAATCCGTTCAAGATCACGATATCCTCTATGCTTTGTTCCTGGAAAGCGAACAGGACGCCATCAATAAGTCGCTCCTCTAGCCTTTCGCCAATATCTGCTGCGCCGAGGGACGCAATGACTTTCTCGACGGTTTCTACTGTCATTTTTCGATATGCTTCGCTCTCATCTTTCAGGTTGTTGACAATCTTTTCTATAATTTCGCTTACTCCAACTTTTTGGCCCAAATCAACGGTTGTTTCGACTACTTGCCGGTAGTTTCTTTTATCGAGTGCCATGCGCCTTACCCAGAAGCATTTGAAGAAATCGGTTAGCACATGTTCCTTTAAATAGGCAGCCGTGACACCATCCGTTCCCGCACACTGAGATACAACTTTCAAAACAACCTTCTTCATCTCTTCATCAGGCGAAGAGAACTCGCGAAGAAGAATTTCCATAATCTGGCTCGTAAAGTAGTTTGCACCCTCCTCATCCATAAGTGGAATAATATAGCCGACAGCCTTGAGGAAGCCTGCAAGCCCCTTGCCTCGCTGCTTTCTTGCTCCTGTCCAAAGGGGCCCAAGGATATCTTGAAAGCTTTCGATACCATATGGGTTTGCAGCTTCAGCAAGAGCAGCAATCGCCAAGCTAGTTACGGTACGAACTTTGGCTTGCTCATCACTGAGATTGTCCCCAATACAGTCCACTAAGCCCTGCAAATGTGGTAAAACTGCACATCCCATCAGGATTGGAATTTGCTGAACAATCTTAACACCGGTATGTCTTGCTTGCCATGATTTTTTACTGCGGCACACCGCCCTTAAAAACGGAAGGAGAGCGGGTATGCCAAGAGCTGATGCAACAACAGCAAAGGCTCGCGCAGTCGTGTTTCGTACGTATTCGTCGACATGATCAATATCAGGACGCATGGTGCTGATCATGTGGGCGAGACCAGCGGCTTTGCTAAGGTTGGAAATGATCTCTCGACCTTCCACACGAGCATAGTAATCCTGGTCAATAAGGAGAGGCTCAATAACAACGAGGATTTTGTGAACATAGGGTCGAACAAGGTCATCAAGTTTGTAAAGTACCCGGTCGATTACTTTAACGAGCAAATGTCGTTCCTGATCCTCCAATGATTTCTCCATGAGCAATGGAAGGATTTGATTGAAAAGAGGTCCTGCACCAAATTGACGGGCGTTATCTGTAAGTTGTCGAAGGGCAGTCTTCCTCATTGGAGGCGTGCCATTCTTGACTTTCAAAAGCAATCTCATTATTTTCCTTTCCTTTAATTCGTCGACCGACATGGTATTCTCATCTGCTCCATCGACGAGCTTGCCGAAATATTGCATATCCTCTGCTTTGAAAAACTGCAAATCTCCAACACCTGGGATATCCGTTGGCAACTGTTTCCCCATCGCCCGAGCATTCTCGGGCTCTTGCATCATGAACCCCCCAAACCCACTGGCGCTTGGAATTGGTGCTGGTGTACTCATCAGCTTCCGAGCGGGAGTCCGAATAGGTGCATACCCAGGTGGGGGTTCGAGAATCTTATAGCCTTCCGATGGAAGCATCAAGTCTAGTTCTTCGTCAGATAAAGGTGCATTTCGGCTAGAAATATCGGTTCCAAATGTTAATGGAGCAACAGGAGCCGCTGTCTGAGAAGGATGCATGGGAGTTGCAAGGCCCTCATTACCAACTGGCGTGGCTGTTACGAGAGATGGTGCTTGATCCCATCTTGATCGGCGTTTAGGCGCCTCTTCTGGTGCACCGGGAACAGGTGTTTGGTCCCATCTAGATCTCTTCGGCTTCGCTTCAACCGGTTTGTCACCTTCCGGTGCAGGTGCCGCTTCGGAGGCCACATCCCATCTTTGCTTTCTTTTCCTCCCAGAAGCTACTGACGCAGTTGAACCCGCTTCCACGTTTTCTTTGTCCGCCTCCTCTAATTTCAACGTCGCTTCATGTTCCAACGATCCATTTTTCTCGCCTTTACCATGTTGTTCTACAATCAACTTTTTCACTCGTTCTTCCTCTTTTTCGAGCTCGCGAAGAGCCATAACTTCGCGATACGTTTGGCCTTCGGTCTCTGCACCTGCTTGGGAATTTGAAGCGAAAGGGTCGGCGCGTGTCGGCGTAAGAGGGCCGCGGTTAAATCGTCGCTTCTGGTAGTCAGTCTCACGCTCTGAGATCCTGGCAGATTTCTCACGTCCAAGGAGGATATCCTCTTCCTCGACCCCTTTGCCAGCGGCAAATTCGTTCATTTGCTCCTTGGTCGCCGTATACTGGCCAGTCAGTCGGTGGCCAACGTCCCCATCTGCCATATCCTCATCTTCGTCATCAACGGGGATGGAGGTGTTATATTCCGCATACTTGTCGGTTCCATTGCGATCGTAGAGCGTTGTATCGAAGGATTCAGTCAGGGAAGCCTTGGTCGAAACGTCAGTTCGTTGGCTGGATGGATCGAAAATTTTAGAACCTTTTTTGTTCGAGGCTGCAGCGTTCCGCTCCGCCTGAAGGCGCCTTATGGCCTCGAAGTCGGCTATAAATGAGGTAGTTAGTTCTGTTGCTAAGATATCTGGCGCCCGGGTGTGCGTACCGTCAGACATGATTGCGACTGGAGGGCTGCACAAATACAGCTAAAACAGTCCGTTAGGATGTATCATCGGTAACAGGGTGTGTGATATATAGTGAAGATGGACCTACGGTGATGGTCGCGGTTGTTTCTTTGCAGTGGTCGCTATTGATGCCTCTAGAGAATGATAAGCAAAATTAGGGAAAGCGCGGTTGTTGGTTTTTGCCACAAGGAGATTGGCGGTTTAGATCTTATCACATGACCCCCCAGCTCCATCCAATGACCTCGGGATTATCCTAGGTCGGATCTTCTGTGGTTGACAATAAGTGATTTATTTTATATTTCATGATGGACTCGCATAAATCAAAAGCCTTCTGCTCAAAATTTGACTTCTGGAGTAAAACGTTTGGGATATTAGTATAGCTATTCTTATGTAGGTACGAGCATAATAAATAACAATCTTTCCTCCTATATTCCATGCCATCGATTGCGACATGAGTGACATAATAGTACTTCGTCAAAACGCATGGAGTAGTAAATCGACAACCATATAAAACACGCTAAATCGAACAAAATTCATCAAGAATAATGGTATCACAAGACATCAAGCAATGCAACGCTAACCACCTGTGTAAAACCCAAGAAGACAGATTAAAAAAAATTAAGAAAACGATGATGCAAAACGCTCACAGATACAAGTAAAATAATTACACATAGAATAGAACGTGGCCTGCCGTAGGAATGGAAAAAGAAAAATGGAAAGAGCTTAATGTACAGAACAGCAAAACGAGATTGGCCGCGAGGCCTATTGGGAAATCTTCGTAGTGTCTGGCATTGGCGATTTGGTAGCCCTGTCTCATCTGTTTGAGTCATTTCGTGAAGAGTAAAACGGGGGAATAGATCGTTAAAAATCATTCATCATTCATAATCGTGTTTGAGGTCGTAAAGGTAAATAAAGAGAGGAAGCAGCGTTGCTGATGCTTCTTCGGGGTAGTAAGGATGATCGAAAAGGAAATATTCCGCTCAAAGGGCGTAAAGGAATTTCGGTAGCTTCGTTGTTAGAGAGCACCAAGGAATATGGATGCATTTACCGTTCGTTATGGGTGCCCCTAGGTTCCTTGTTCTTGCATTTTTAAATGCTTGCAGTCCTTCGGGGTTCGCTTGGTTTTTGCGCAAAAGCGATTAGTAACCGGAACCCTGTCCCACGTCTTTGGCACTCCCTCAGAACCCTTCTGTCAGCCCAGATGCTGTAATCCGGGTTTCCGTCAGGTAGTATTGCAGCCTCATAGCAGCGGGTATACCACCAACGAGCGACTTTGGCTACCATTTTAGCAATGGATTCATCATTGGACTCCGAGGGGCTAGAATCTGAGAGAAGGTCACCAAGAGAAACGCTGGGATTGTCTGATGGAGGTCGCTTCGGCTTACTACCTCCTTGAGTGGTCGATGTAGGATTCGGGGAGTACGGGTGTATCGACGTGACTGACCGGTTGGAACTGGATGTATCAGATGAGCTCAAAATAGTGCCTGCAACTGGCACACCAACTATGCATCGATTCAAATTCTCGAACCCTCGCTTTCCAAGCAACCTCTGGATATTGTCGCTTGCGGGTTTGAGACTTATGCTTGGATCTGCCACAAATATACGCTCTTTTAACATACGAACAGCTTTTCGTGTTCGGGTCCCCATATTCACCATGTCTAGGTCCATAACATTCATTTCTAGATATGCGCCTGGCCGCAACACGCGTTTGCACTCTGAAATAGTAGCCCGCAATCCACTCTCGGAGCAAGCAGCCGGGAATCGAATAACTGCTGCGGTGAAGAATCCCCTGGGAAACGGAAATGGGTTTTCCATATTAGCGTGATGGATAGTTCTGTGATTAGAAGGGGGCTGCCAGGCCGCGGGGTTACTGGAAATTGTGGAAGGTCCTGAGAACCCAAGACTGTACACAGTTGCAGTAGGATAAGTCAATGCACAGTAAAACGACCAATCATCGTTTCCTAAGCCGTCAATAACAAGAACTCGACCCTGATCTTGGTCTTTGAGGTGATTGTGTGCAGGGCTGAAAAGTACTCGCCCAAACGATAACCACCGGCTGGTCATGAGGGAGCTAGAGCGAAGGTTTATTTGCTCCACAGCGCCATTGCGATCTCGCTCTGCTCTATCTAGGAGGATGGTATTTCTGCGACGATCTGCTTCACTTTTCTTAGGCGTAGGAAGCGAAGATTCTCTAATTATGTCCGATTCTGAATCTAATCGCCGGACGGATAATGTACCATCTTGATTCATCAGCTCTGCGCTGTTCGTATTGCCGTTGCCACCATACATGCCGTTGAACGGCATTGGAGGAGACTGGGACATGGAAGAGTGTAGAGCAGAAAGTATCATAGACCTGCGTAGGCGCACTGTGCTTCCACTTGATCTTGCCGAAGACATTGATCGATGCAAGGACGGGTTTTCCGAAGGGATGGGAGCAAGACGGTCCCCATTTCTCGTTTCACTTATCTCCACTTGCAAAGTCCTGCTGGCACGAGTGGCCATTTCAAAAGACTGCTGGGAAGAGTTTGACCTTCTCTTTTTGGGAGCCGCTTTCGGTGATAGCACCGTGTCAATGAAATCATCGTATTCATTCCAGATCTCGTCTTCGCTGAGTTTTGAACCCGGATGTGGTGCAACAGCAGTCACAGTAGTCAAGCTCTTGCAACCCTCAGAGCTACTAGAGCCAGAGGCTATGGATTTCCGTGGAAAAGTCAAGAATTCGCGATCCTTCTGTGCATATGATGCATTGTTTCCTGGTATGATATGAACGGAAGGGTCCGAAATTGCACACTCCGGATAGAACGCATGACTGGGGAGAGCCTCCACTTGAGACCCCACGGGGGGTCGACCGGGATTATAAAATTGAACAGGCTGAGAGTCGGCCGTAGCCAAGAAGGAAGGCATATCAGCTCTGCTGAAGGGGCGGGAAAATGAAGGGATAGGTTGGTTTTTCTGCGTGTCTCGGCTCGAAATTACTAGAGGAATTCTTCCCACTGATGCAAGTCGGTTAGGCCGTCGTTCTTCCCGAACATCCCCTTTCGGTTGAACACCGTTTGTTTCTTTCTCATCAAAGATATCTTTGTTGAAAAATACCTTTGGTGACGAAGGAAGCTTTTCGAAGGCATATCCTCCTAAAAGTGGAGGAGATGGCAGCAGAACGGAGTGACCGTGTTCTCTTTTCAAGCCAAGCCCGAGGGGAACTTCTTCGGTCTCGTCGACCTCTTCCTCGGTGGCTGGTGATTCCTCAAGCCCTTGGAAAATATCTCTGAGTGACTCCGGATCTAGGTGCTCATTTTCGAGGAGCGCATAGTGAGCCACTTGCCTGGCAGAAGGAAGCTTAGATATGGCAACTGACACTTCGACAGAAGGACTTGGTTCAGGAAGTGATCCCTTTCGTGGGTTTTGGTGGCTCCTTTGAAAAAAATTCCACTTCCCTTTCCTCTCGGGCTTCTTGTTATCCTTTTTATCGTGACCACGTTCGTTCACAGTAATAGATACGCTGGACTGAGAAAACGATGTTTGGCTTGTGTTACAACTGTCAATGGATGGGCGGGATTTGGGAACATCGGTATGGATGGATAGTGGTACAGGCGTTTGTTCTTGGGACTCGAAGAGCTGTGACCTCCGGAAAGACCGACGGTTGGCAAGGCGTTGGTTTTCTTCATTTCGTTGTATTTTGTATAGTAAAGAGTCAAAAGTTTCGGCTGGCTGCGAAGTGAGTGAAACTAATGACTCCGCAGACGCCCCAACGGCTTTCGAATATTGTGGACCAGGACAAGAAGTTGCCGTCGACGTGGCGCTCACGCCACTCGCGCTCTGCTCGCTCTGTATTCGACTGAGATCTGCTCCAATGATCCCCTGTCCACTAATGACAACTGGTTCCAGGCGATCCAATAGGAAATCATCCATTTCCGATTCTGTCTGGCTAGCAGTGCTGCCCTTCCTCGATGGACGAGTTGCGCTCGCGGACCTTGCTCTTCCATTGACGCTATTTATGCTGGATCTTCGCCCCCGCTGGGCATACCTTCCATAACCTTCGTGGCCAGTTCCTGCAGCAGGGCCACGTCGGTTCGACTTATCTTTCGAGTCCGAACCAACTATATCTGTATCTGATTTTCCTTTTCTTGAGAATATCCCAAACCGCCTTGTCCTGCCACTTGCTGAAGGTTCTTTAGCTTGCTTAGGGTCTTTTGATAAAACCATGTTCGCACGGGACAGGGAGTCCTTTGAACCCGTCCCAATTTTGGAGCTCTGGTTACCAGTGAGATATGGGGAGGCATATCGATTAGGAACCCGGATAGAACCTTTAGACTGGAACGATTCCGTCGAAGAATTGATATTATGAACTCTATGAATCCTGTCATGAGTAGAGTCGCTGGAAGCCTGACGTTTATGCCCAGAGTGCTTTAGGGTTGCCATATTACTCTGAATTACCGGAGATGGTTTCAGTTCCAGGTCACTTGTACCAGCACGGCTGGGTCTAGGTGGCCGGAAAGTCGAGGTTGGAGCTGGCAGCCGAGAAGAATTTTCGGTTTTGCTCTGATCTGGTTTGATAACTTGCTTCTCTTCCCGTATCTCCAAGTCCTCATTTGGCATTTGCTTGGAATCGCTCATCGTCGTCTTCGGAGATTTGAATTTAGTGGATGATTTTCGAGGCGGGGCCCTGCGAGGAGGTTCTAAGGGTATTGTTCCCCTATCACCATACTTCCGTTCGACTTTGTCAGTCTTGCCTGCCGTTATAGGAGGATGAGTCTGAGCTTTACGGGGTGTTCTTGGATAAAATGAAGGTCCATCTTTGTTGGCAGTGGTGGGAATAGTGGAGGGAACAGGAGCAGTAGATTGCCCAGGGAGTGGACTTCTCGATAGACCGGGGCTAGGTTGCCTTAAACGTGACCCGATCTTTGTTAGTTGAGTGATTCCTGGCGAATACGAAGACATGGAGGTTGGAGTGGACGTCCTGCTACTCCATGGCCCAGGCGATTCAGAATATCTCGTGGAGGGGCTGCTGGTGGATGTGAAATTAGGAGTTGGAGGGGGGAAGGCCGTTGTATTTATTGTATTTGCTAGTCCGGTCAATTCCTCTGGGATATCCTTCGGGATGCGAGGAATTTCTCCAGCTCTAGTACGCTGTTGAGCCGTTGATTGTAGAGGCTGGACTTGATCCTGTGTTCGGCTCCTCGAATCCTCATCGGGCCTGTCTGCTGAAAGGGGCTCCAAGCTTAATGGGTTGCTCTCACCCTCCATCTTCGACAAGGAAGTATTAGAACCAAAAAAGCCAAACTTTGACGTATCGGATGCCGCCCTATTGCGCTCAGCATATTGCTCTATCGACGGAGCTTTCCTCCGCAGCACATTACGGGATCGGCCCTCTGCTGAAGATAGTTTCCCGAGCCTATCAGCAATTGCATGATCTGGCTTTAATTGAGATTGAGCAGGGGGAGGCATCTTGCCCATCGATGGTATTAAGCTAGGTGCCAGGGAGGAACCAACTTTCGAGGGTTGCGGAATCCTCAAGGGCTGCCCGTTGGATTTTGATGGGATTTTGGTATTCTGAGGAGTCGGGATTCTTCCTCGAAAAGAGCTCTCATTATCTGAGACTAACGAGCCTCTTCTATTTCTGGAAGGTAAAAAAGTTCGCTGGGCTTGAGATCTAGTTGTCGTTAAACTAGACTGGCTTATGTTCGGTACACCGGGAATTCTAGATAGGTGGACATCTTGAGATGGCTCCGTTAAGTCCTCCTGTTTTAACATCCGCCCCCGATCAAATCTGTGAGAGGGCATGGTGCGACCTGAGCTCGAAATACCTGGCCCAGGTTGAAGAACCAGCTTTCCAAAACTTTACTATGAATAGCAAGCCGCAGACTCATAACAGATGGGCACTAGGAGCTGCATGGGAATGACGCCGTATCTGTATCAAGGTCAACAACGAGGTTCGGTGGCTTCAAGGGGTTGAGTATAACCATGCTATGGGAACTCACAGTCAGGGCCAGACTTTCCCATTCCTTCCTGCTTTGCTCTATGACAAACAACCATAGAATAACACTAAATATCTTTCACAGTGACCTGCACCATACATAGACTCTGCAGCGTGTGCTTTAAGGTACAGTACAATTGAACTGTAGAAGATTTATCATGGGTTGTAAATCCCCGTACGAAAACAAGGTAAAGAAAAAAGAGGAAAGCGTCAACGCCAACGTCAGGAGAAAAGATATGTGAGAGCCTCTCTTATAATGTAGATATTTCAACAGCCGTCAGAAAGATTGAGGCACAGGATGTTCACATCATCGGGCGTCTAGGCACTTGGTATACACATATACTGCATGTATGCAACTTCGCCACACACGGCGGGCCCGTTTAGGCCTTAATGCAGTGAGTTGTGGCTAGGAAAGTGGCAGGGCCCAAGAGAACCGGTAAGGCGAACGACTAGACAACGGCCACGTCAATGAGTGCCATCATTATGCAGAGTGAGTTCCTGATCGACGGCTAGGCCAATGTGGTTGACCAAAATTTCGAGAATCGTGAAGCTTTCTCCTGGGAAGCAAACAGGGGCAAAAAAAATGTAGAAAAATGTAAAATGAATAGCCCTGAGGTGCCCATCGGCCTCCCTTTAAGGTCCAAGGAGGGGTCATTGTGCCCTTAGGTCCTGGGTAACGGGTTGGACAGGGGTGCAGAGGGCCGGCGCCTGTGAAGCCCAGCAATGGAGTCTCACCCTCCGGGGGAGTGACTGGCAAGACTCTAGTTGGTGAGCTCGAGATCCAGCAATGAGGCGAAAGGAGAGTTTCGGATAACGGTGCGGTACGGAGCGCGGCTGCTGGGGTTTCCCGCTAAAAACCAGACTTTGCTTAAGGCCGGGCTTATTGGCAGTGGCGAGTCACGAGGCACCGCTACAAATAGGTTGAGCGAGTGTCTGTAGATGGCAAGGAAGCTGGACTTCGGGAATCCAGCGCCCTGATATGCTCGCGTTGGTGCCGCAGTGGGTACCAGTCGCTATGCTGGAGACGTTAGCGGATCTGTGGGCTGCGAACAAGAACAAGACCTGGTGGCTCTCAGCACGGATCCCTTCTCACATCTCGTTAGCTGCGACATATTTTCTTCCTTCGAATAAAGAGCCTGTTCAATCACGCTACAAAAAGGAGCATGCCGCAGTCGGGCCTTTGAATGGCGTCAGCCAGTCATTTGGCAGCTTGCAACAGGTAGTTAAGAGACATCGGCTGTACCGCTGCAAGCGACTGACTCAGGGCTTCGGCGGGCAATAATATCAGGCTCCCAGAACTCGCGAATACCCCCCACCTGCAAATCTCTCAACCAGCATCAACACCTCCGGTTTGTGTACTCCTCCCAACTTTGGTCATTCATACTTCTTGTCTGAAGTCACGGTTCCAAGGTACCTCCTACCTGTACAAGGAGTCAAAATACCCCTTCATAGGTAGTCTCGTGCTACTAGTATTACATCGCAGTGCGCCGCCCCAGACTACACTTGCATGATCAAGGAATCCTATCACGTTTCAAAGCAGAACAGGAGAACTCCGTGAGCTCCTCCCCTTGACATCTATTAGACTAGTTACCAGACGTGCCGTGCCGTCATCAACCAGTCTTTCACGACGATCTGCTAATTGTTCTTGGAGCTTTTCTACATGCCAATCAGCTTCACGAAAATCCAAAACCACTCAATCATTACCCAAAGCTTGTTAAAGACTTCATTGGCTTCATTCAATGGCCCATCGATAATACACCCCTCCGAATTGCTATCGATAAGAGGAAGATGGACTTGTCATCTAAACTTGTCCCTTTCCCAACCGGGGTTTAGTTATGCAATATCCATTGACAATAATAATATCCTCTTGAAAGTGATAAATGAAAACATATTTTTGTGATTTATCCGCGCAACTGTGCAGGAGACCAGTCGAATCTCTGGGGGCCACAAGCTCTTCGGGGCGCGAGGGCATGGACGTCAAAGTTGGCGAGCGTTTTTATTCGCTTTGCCAGGGCCAATTGCATCCCGAATCAGCCAAACGGCTCCGTGATTCGCAGGCAGGGTTATCCAGGCTAAGAGTTAGCGAGGCACGCGAATGCAACTCTGGCTCGGCACTCTCAGAGTCTCGCAACACAGCGTTCTACCTCAAATCCTAACCGTCCCCGGAATTCGAGAATAATAACCCTCTGTGATGCTCGGCCTTCATGGACGCCGATCCTCATTCTCAATGTGGCCTCTGCGGAGTTTATTTGGTAGCAGAGAAGCATGATAGGATTTAAACAAACATTGTCAATCAGCCTTTGATCTCTGAGTTTTTGATCATTGCCTAGGACAAGATTTTCATGCTGTGATCTCTATGTCGTGCAGCGAGGCGCAGACTCTAATCTAAAAGACAAAAATAACACTATATTTTCGGGTTTAAAAGACTTTGCTATCTGCCAGAGGAAATCAAGAAATGACGCAGAGGCACGTTTCTTCGTGATAGGCGCACATATCACGCCGGCTCACAAGGGCATTTGTTTGCAGGGGATTTAACGTGGGGTATGGAAGTTGACCGGTAGGCTGAGGGATCCAGAGGGAAAATATCAAAAATGAAAATTACAAAGAAAAAAGAAAAAATGTAGTTATATGCCGCCATCTTAAAAAACTAGGAGATTTTTCTACTCTGAGCCTATCATACCGCTCGAATCATGGTCTTCCACTTCTTCATCAAACTCATCCCAATCTGCATGTCTGTGCTCTGTATCTCCCGACCTCGTTTCCCTATCAGAAGAAGCTGAGGGGTTCTGTTCGCTTAGTGGTTAATCTAAGGCGGAGAAATATCAAATTCTCTAGATCAACTCGTCTTGCTATGTATCAGGCGAAAATCATTCTATTTGCTGCCATCCTTACAGTGTTTGAAAGGCTTTCCCAGCTTAGCATCCCAAAGTCAAATACGGAGTACACTATGGCGAGAACGAGCCGAAACGCACAGTCGCTAATAATCCTGCAGGGGAGCAACCTCGGGGGTCAATCAACGCTGTCCGCAGCTCCTGTTTTCGACATGCAGAGTACAGAGTAAATGCACGATTCAGCTGTGCTGGGACGGCAAGCCCCCGTGATTTTCTCTATTCTTCCTATCACGATTCCACAGCAAACCACGCTAAGAATTAATCCCCTCGAGTCACTAATCCAAACTCGTCCGCTGGGCGCGTATGCTGGGTCGATCCACACGCTTGACAGAGTAACTAAATATTGGTGAGAATCCACTGGTTAAAAAGAACCAACTTCATGCTGTCTAATTATTAAGGTCTTACGAAGTCCATAACGCCAGATCCATAGGCTGATTTGTATTTTTATCTCCCACACAAGGGCTACAAGGCTGACTTCCTTCCATGTACTCCGTACGGACTATTAGTTTTAGTAGATATTTTAATCGAGAGCTCTTGACTCTAAACCCTTTCTTCCACAACACACAAACTAATAATAGAAAGCTTGCATGACAGGAACAGAGATTAAGAAAGTGAGATGCTAACTGAGTCTGTGACTGTCAATCATTGTGTTTTTCAAGGGACGCTTTTGATTAAGAGTAAATTAAGCCCTCTAGTTATAAGTATGTCATATATGTGATAAAAACTTTCAAGACAGAACAATCGTATCCTCCGTTGATATTATGGGGCCTGTGCAAGAATGTAACATATGTTTCCTTTCTAAGTATTGGTGAACATACCTAGGTACATACATAGGCTATAGAGTGCCTAGCTTTCCTTTTGTCAGGTTTCCCAACTGGCTTCTGTCAATAGTCTAGCAACAAGCACAATTAAGCCTGGCCAGATAGCATATGTATTTAACAGCACAAATCACTGCCAGGGACAGGAACAAAGAAATATAAATGAAAATAAGGCAGGGTACAACAGAGAAAATATATTCCTCTTTGACTTACAATGCAACAATTAACAACAAAGTAATAGCAGAGGAAATCCCAGGCCAGCAAACTCCCAAGTCACTGATCACAAAAGATACAACAAATCAGAAAAAGTTAGACAACTGAATCTGAAAAAGGAAAATAACCCGTGAACGATAGAAACACATATTCGAGAAAAGAAGACCGAGAAAGCCGATTTAGAAGCCTGTCACCTATACCCTAACCGAATCGGTTTTTCCTCCTTTCCAACGCGATACGATCTTGCTCGCTCCAGGAATTGCCGTTTCCACCATTGCTTTGTCGGGGAGCAGGTCCTCGACGTCCCCCCGCTCTCCCCATGTGACTCCTGCCCCGTCTGAAGTCGCGGCGCTTCCCACCACGGCCACTTCCACCTTCATCACCACGCTCCCGCTTCCTTGAGCGCTCCGGCAGGGCCTCATCCAAACCCTTGACAATCGATGCGTCTTCCGTAACTGTCCCAAATCGTTTCGCCCTTTCAACAGCTTTCTTCGCTTGCTCCAGTGCAGTTGATGAATCCTCCACTATCCCGAACTTCTCTGCACGAGCTTTCCTTTTGGCAAGTTCAATTTCCAGATCGGTGGCTGATAGCCCTATGCTGTAATCGACTGCTGGTTTCTCTCTTGCTTGCACCTCGGTGCCGTTAACTTGCACCGCGACAGCAGCTTTATCTCCGCCAGCTGCCGCGCTGGCAGTCTCCGCCTTGTCTTCGCTTCTCACAACTTTGAGATCGTGAGTTGTGGATGGATCAATATCGACCTTCTGGTTTGGTACCGCAGTGGGATTGGGAACCTGGTTTATTGGAGCTGCAGTTGCCGTGCTGGCGTCCGGTTTCGCAGGTACGACAGGTTCAGCAAGCGCCGCATCGTCATCCCAATCTATTACATCCTCAATCGCAGTTGGTTTCACGGGCGCAGCGGCGGCCGCTCTTTCGGCGTCTGCTTTATCTGCTTCCTGGAGTCGAGCGATGAGGTCTGCCTTCTTCCCGGTGTGGGGCAGAGAACGAGATTTGAGGATTTCAATGAGCTCCGCGTTTGTCTTTTTGGCGTACTCTGCTGGCATTGTGAAGGATGTGGAAGGTCAGGTAATGGGAGGTGGTTTAGAGACGGCCGAGTAATAGCTCAGGATGCTTGGAGGTCGAGATTTCGCTCCAGAAAAGAGCAGATTTCCGTAGCGAGTTAGGATCAAGAAAGGTGAAAATTCAACAGCTGTGGAATCGCATGGTGTGATACGTTTGTAAACAAAAAGCAGATACGTTAAGTCCAGATAGATGGGAAACGCTGCTTTGAAACCGATGGCGATCAATAAAATTGTCGCAGTTGGCCTGGAAAATCTCCTGAGTTCTATCGCGTCACGGTTTAGCCGCGCCTAACCCGAAATGGGAGTGGCTGGTGCAACGTAGTCACGTGAAACATGAACAATTTGTTGCTTCCGCCTAATATAGGTAAAGCTTGGCGGTATAACTACTCCGTATCTGGGAAATGAATGAACAATGCCCACCACCGCTGGGGACTGGGGCCTGATCCTGGAATTTTCATAATTGTGATGGGTTGTTGAGCAATTCCCTAGATAAATCGAAGTACCTGAGTCACATAACTCTTTCCTCTACCAGGAGCCACCGCAAAGGATCGGAAACATGGGCAGGACCCCTTCTTTGAGCCCCCTGTTTTGAGTCTCGCCTGGGTTCAACTGTCCAGCTCTACTTGTGGGCGATGCAGAGAGGGAAACTGTTCAGGGTTGTGTGGTGGCTTCCCCTTGGTTCAATCCAGGATAACAAGAGAAGTATAAGGTCAAGTGCACACTGAATAATGCCCAAATAGCACCAAGCTAATCTTCGCGATCTTCGTTGATACTCTAGAGCCAGGCTGATATTAGTCTTCAAGTCAACGACAGTGTGAGAATTGTTCGATATGGAATCTTCACTGCAGGAACTAAACAATAATATTTAGTAGAAAGGAAGCCGGAAAATGAGTTTCTCATTGCAACCTTAAGGCGAAATATCCATTGCCATCTATTCTCGCTGGTCATTTTTCGCTGCCTATCTACAGATATTCAAAAATGTGACACATCATCTCGTGAGGGAAGGCAGGGATCTCCCAGTCCATCAACCGGGAATTAATCCGCCGAAGATGCCATCAAATACTTCTTCCCTATCCAAAAGAGCCCAGGGAAGGGTCCACACCACCACAAAGTCACATTACCAAAATGGCACCGAGCGGATGGTTCACCCTCCATCCAGTCACAGTCCAGAACTTACCCCTGTTATTTCACACCACCCTCCCTCCTGACACTTTTATTCTTCTCCATTCAAACTGCCCACCAATTGTGGGTCTGTCCAAAGAGCTTAAATAGCGGGAAGGGGGGAAAGCGGACAAAGATTCCTGGCTCCTCCGGGCCGGCAAACCTACGCGACAAACCCCTCCTCTATCTCGCTAGGTTTAAACATGGAATGTTTGAACATGAGCATGAACATCATAAAACGGAAATGAGGGGTATGATCTGTGTGATGGGGGAGGCATTAGTTTCATTTACCGCTCATGACGAAAAATCCAGACCATTTTAAATTATTCTTGCCATATCTACGACTCGTAAGGGAAAGTTTGCGCTCACCTTATCTTTCCCCGGCCTAGCTTCATTATCGTCACGCGAAAAGTGAAAGATGGCTTCGGGCAGAAATATGGATAAACTACGGAGTACTCCGTAAGCTTATCCTTTCCCTGTCGTTTTCGCACCGTTTCTCTTGAGAATACTCTCGCTCGTCTGCGCCGCTGGTACGGCTGCGACAATAGTCCTGCATACTTACATGATGGTTCAGCAAGGCATTCATCACATTTAATCCGAAGTCACCGTTCCTGTCAATGCTCAACACGTGTCAAATCGGAGCGAGCAAAGGGAGAAAAACAATTCCAACTTGCAGGAACATTTTGGTACTAAAGGGCGGTGTGTGTATGCACTGCGCCACATTGCTGTGGCTGATAAAATTTTTCTTCTGTGACACGTGATATCTGAGATTGCTGCGCTGGCCAAAGGGGGAAAGAAAATCAGTAATTCATTTAGTTTTGAATATTAAATGGCGTAAAGACGGCCGCGCGAGACAACCAAGGAGCCATATAGGTGGTGTCTGTTGCACGACTTGGTGCTAGATAAAAGGCAAATAAATCATCGGGAGAAGCAGAGTGAAATTAAATTTGGAAAAGCCCCTTTTGAAACCCTTTTTATCAACAATGGGATCAGAATGAAGAAAAAGAGCAAGCTTCCTAGCGTAAACATCCCGCAAAGGATAAATAAACAACCAAAAAAAGTAAACCGAATGTAAAACCTCAAAAAGGTCAATAACACCGATGTGACTATTGTTAAGGGAGAAAGCACGGGAAATGATGATGATAATACAAAACTATTGAAACACCTCCAGAAAATAGCGTTATTTGCAAATCCCTTCCCGTCATTTTCCAACCTTGGTCTTCTTCTTCGGTCTGTCGTCGTCATCGACCTCGACCTCGACGTCCCTGGTGTCGTCGGCATCATCCATCTCAACATCACTTCCGCTGCCACTGCTCTCATGCGCAGAGTCGTATTCCTCCGCAACATCGGATTCGGACTCTGCTTGGAAGTCTTCGTCTACAGATTCTTCGTCTTCGTCGGCCGAGCCACGATCATTCCCGATGGCTACATCCTCGTCACTGGAACCATCGTCGTTGTTCAGAGCGGCGGCAAGAAGCGCAGATGACTGCGATGAAGAGTTAGCATACCATTGTATAACATAGTAGATTGGGAATCTGAGCAGGGGAATAGCTGACATCATCGGCCATCTCGTTCTTAAATCTTATATTCTTCGCCTTGAAAAATTCTTCCAATGGTTGTTGTTCCTCACTGTATCATCGTCAGTAGGATTTCAGTAATTAACTTGCTCTAACAGGGGGTTGAGTTGCGGAAGAGTTATACCGATTGATATTGCTAAACTGATGTTCTCCCATTCCACCTTTAAGGGTCATCGTGATATCAAAGGTCCGACTAGCAGAGATAGCACCACCGACACGAGACATGGTGATTACGGATATATTCTCGATTTGGACGTACGTCGCGGGTTTGGGTACGAACATGAAGCTTTTGTCTAAACAAAATAGAAGGCCTTCGTTTGCTTTGATGGAGCATTTGACGCCGGAGTGTCCGTGGTGACTATATTTTGGGTCAGTAATTTTCGATCGAAGATGTCCATTGGGTGATTGGGTATGATCGGAATTTGGGCCCGAGTTTTTATTGCGAGATTCAGAAAGGGATTGAGATAAACCAGTTGCTGACCTGACGAAATCTCTTGAAGGCATCACGACCTTTTTCCCGGAAAGACCGCGAAATACTTTCGTTACAACCTGATGAATGGGTTCCTCGTAATGGGCCTCCAACTTGTCCTTGTAGCGGGTTTGAAGTAACTCACTGCCGCAAATTTATTAGTGAAGCCGCGGAATTGCTGTGATAAAGAAAGTAACATACTCAGTCATGTTAAGATCGATGCTAATCTCATCATCAAGTTTCAACTGCATAACTAGGAATGGATATCGGGTTTGGCCTTGTCGGAGTGGAGGGTCCAAGCCAAGAGTAATCAACGTATGGGTATCATCATTCTTCGGTAATAGGAAGAACTTCTTGATCGATTGGTACTGGATCTTATAGTCGTATGTTTTGCCACGTAATCTGAATGAACTTTCGTACATATCAATGTCGAAACGGCCTCTGTGAGGATGTCAGTAAGTAGGTTATTGTAGGAAAGCTTTGAGAAGGAAAAATTCTGACCTTGGTGTAAGATGTAGCACATCCAGGAAGGTAGCAAAAGTATCACCAGCGACATCCCCAATCTCGGCCTTATCCATTAGAGTTTCATAGAACAAGTTTGCCGCATTCTGCTCCTCAGCTTCTTCACCATCAACGCTTTCATCATCTTCCTCTCCCTCCGGCTTCTCTTTTTTAAGCGCTGTGCCGGGAATGTAAAATCTCATCTCCACCAATTCGTCACGGCCAGCACCAGCCTTTCTTCCTCTGTTTTTAGTGCCGCCCTCTGACTGTCCGGTTGTTCCATTAACACCATCGGTTGGAAGTGAAAATTCGACTGCAACCTCGTTCTTGCCCGCAAGATTTGTATTTGATATTTCTGAATAAGGGATTTCGAAGGCTGGTCGGTTCTGAACATTGAATGCGAGTTCTGCTTTTGTGAATTCTGCTTTCCCCCAGTTCCATCCTCGAAGCGCATGTTCTCGGTTTTCAAGGTTGATACCATACCAGATCTTGAAAGCCTTACTCGTTCGTTCAAAATCCTAAAGTACCGTAAATGTCAGTCTCATAAAAGCAAACGAGGATAATAGAGTGCACATTTTAATTTCGTACCTCTTGTTCAAATCCATCAAGCTGAATAACTCCTGAAGAACGGGATAGAATCTTTAGCTCATACCCCTTGGCAGCCCGACTCCATTGCGCTGCGCCGATATTGCTGCTATCAAGAGTGAACGTGTCGCCGCCTCCTGATGGTCGCCAACCCAGGCCACTCTCTGCAAGCTTACATTTGCCTGGCTGTTTCGATAAGTCAAGGTATATGTTCTCAAAGCTCTCCCTGTTATGAAGTCAGTCAATGAATGCTGTAACGGGCATTCTGGGGGCAAGCCAAACTGACATGATGGGAGTATGGGATGAAAAGTCAAGATCTCAGTTACGAGTTGGCTAAAAAGAAGAGGAGTCTAAAGTCAATAAAACCTTCAAAGGTATTTGATGATGAATGGATGGACAGAAGCTGAGAGTGAAAACTATTTGGTTGTCTCCCCACTAGCTTGAGCAATCGCGTGAAGACCACTTAAGAAAGTTTCGCGCCCGAGGAGGTTTATTACGGCAGACGATAGGAGCTAAAAACGTTATTTGCCATCAAAGCTGTGACCGAACAAAAGCACTTAAATATTTTGTGTTTTCTTTTTCTTTTTCTTTTTTTTTTTTTTCCTTTTATTTTTTACTATCTGGTATCCTTTCACCATCAGTCGACCAAGTAGAGATCTCAAGATGTATATCCTGAGATGACCGGAGAAGGAGATGTCAGGTTAAAATTTAGGATGAGGCTTGTATTTATCAGGATTTTGTCTCATAGTCGGAGAGTATTATCACAAAGACTGCCCGTACTCACAAAATGTAGAATATCCGCCGTGTTATTCCTGTTTTACTCCCATAAAAGTATACAGATTGCTGCTCACAGCACACTTAACAATCATGCCTGTGGTGCTCACCAGAAGTTATCATATCACAATACAAACTCTTTGTCAATGCAACGGCCACGCGAACATATGCGTAGATTGGCGGTGACAAACTTGGCAACATAAACCTGATCTCGTCCAACTGTGAAGCTAACATACATGCTTAAAATGACGGCTTCGGCGGGAAATGGCCTATTCCGGGCCGTCCAGGGCCTCAATTTGTCAGTACAGGACAATTCCAAGGCCTCTCAAAGCCTACCATGGAGGAGAGCTGTTCAGAGCGATATGAATGCGACTTCAATATGCAAGCACTAAGATCACCTCTGTTGGCAAGTGCAAATGTCGCACCTGTTTGACTTGGGAATTCTCACCGATATAGTGGGTGTGGGAGTTTCCAGATTTCCACCGCCAAAGCGAAGGTCTGATGTTAGGTGGCCGCATTCTTAATGGCAACGCTGCAAGGTATTGAAAATATCAGGACTATGTACACCGTCTAGTTCACCATCAATATATCAATGAAAATGCGATCCAGATTGTTCAGTCTGCACGCGATCCTCCAAATCACGATGTTGGCTTGAACCCGGTTGGCGGCAGGCGTGGTCAAGGCAGGATCTGTGAACTCAGAATTTGCGCATAAATCGGATGTTACTGTTGATTGTGATACTGGGCTGGCCCTGTTTAGATTTGAATCATGTTGCTTATTTTTGTTTTCTATATGAAGTACTACGGAGTGTCAACTGGTAAACGAGGCCCTTATTAGTAAATCCCATTTTTCATTTTGATTTCTGGCATTTAGCAATTGTTTCTCTGGTCAATCATCACAGGGTGAAGCACACTTGAGTACATAGCTTATGAAGGATACTGGAAGCAGAAGCTCAGTAAATGATCATGAAAAATGTAATTTAGAAGGCTAAGTACAAAATCAATACTTATACTGCTCCAATCTGCAGCACATATTCACTGAAAGCAGCGAACTCAGGCTCATACACAGTTAAAAATTTGAGAATCCAAACATTGCGCCATTCGGCCCATTCCCCCTTATAGTCTGATGTGTATAAGGCCTTGCAATACTCCCTCAGCATGAGCTCAATCAACTACAGCAAGGACACGTGGGCGACCAGCTAGTGAAATTAGAATATTACTCCAATGCAAGTCTCCATGAGTCAATCTGATGGCCTCATCATCTGGTAGGTAGTCTTGATAAGGACCCCGATATCTCTTCGAATCAGGAAGCCAGCTTTGGGGCAGAGAAGAAAACCAGTCATTGAATGCTTTCACATTTTTAAAAGGTCCTGATTGAGGGATGGTTGCAAAGACATAATTGTGCAAATGTGCACAATTTATGAATTCTACATCTCAGTAAATGACTCTGCTGATAGACATTGTGAGATACATGCATACCAATAAATGAGTCATAAGAATCTAGCTCAATTTGCTGAAGGGAAGAAATAATCTCCTGTAACTGGCCACAAATAAAGTATCTATCTGGCTCATTGTCCCATTGATCATGTAGTGTGTCTCTCTAAATAAGCTCCATATAAATGAACACAGAGTTTTGATAAACTCTTCAACCATACACCTCTGGGACAGGTATCTTCTCAAGTAAAAGAGGTTTGAAGCATGTGGAGAGTTAGGGCTTCTTCAACTGTCACAGACAGCCCAAACTTGACAAGAAGATTTAGATGTTCAAATTTAACTGGTGCAGGCCGTGGATGTTTGTTGAACTGTTCTGAGAGGGAGACAACCTCTGCAGCAGTTGGCAAGCTCTTATTGACCTTGCTTTGATGAAGAAGGGGGAGTTGAGGAAGTCCATCTCTGTTTGCATTGCATTCAGAGTTGCTGACAGTTGAATTTGCTGTTTAATGGGCATCTTGTTATGAATTGTCTCAGGTTGTTGATGATACCAAGAATTACAGAAACCGAGAGAGTTGTGGCCTGCTTAGGTTGTTGTTCAAAGGAAGCAAGTGGGCTCCAAGGCTCATAATGTACTTGTCGGAGATATTAAGTTACCAATGACCTTCAAATTAGCTTGGGCACTTAGCATTGGGTAAGTTAAGTCCCAGATCAGTTTCCGTTGGACCCAGCCAACCAAACCGTCCAAACTTCTATAATTCAAAGGACCAGGATTCAAATCAAGGACATCCTCTATATGTGCTTTACAGTAATGAGCTATTAGGCTTCTAAAAAATCACAAACGAAAGTACTTACCATCAAAGGGCGTCTCTCGGTGATGGCAGTATAAAATATGCGCTCAGGGCGCTATGCAGAAGCCACAATACTCGAATGCTCAGGCAGTGAAATTTACAAGAAGTAATATCTTGATAGCATGGAAAGCGATTTGATATTCAGGAACTAGAGCTAAGCGCAACTCTTCTCGTATTTACTAAATTGAATAAATTCCTCCTTTTTAAAACTACATGGACCGTATAACTAATACTCAACTCGTTGACTACTGGAAAATGGAAATTGGCCTATCGTTATCCGGGTGGGGTGAGTCCTTCTTTTTTTCGCCTCCGACGTCATTGTTTTTGTCGACGCTCTGGTGGTTGGTGCGCTTCCGTTCATCTAAAAGGGCGGTTCCTACCAACCTGCTTTCCACAAGCGAGTCTCAATTACCAGTAAAAATTAACAAATTTATATTATCAATTATTTTCTATATATTTAGAGTATGTACAGACAGTATATTCAATAATATTATATACACTACACTGTAATACTATGTGATTTTATAATTGAGAGTCAGTGATTTTAAACATCTCTCTTTCTCATTTATTAATATTTTATATGTAATTCAAGTTCTTTTTAATTCTCAACCCTTTTTTTAAATTATATATATACAGTTTTTTTCTCATTTTCTTTTTTATTTTCTTTTTACAGTTTTTAACTCTCTGTTCAGTTATTAGAATAGCAGTACTATTATTTAATATTAATTAATTAATTAATTTAAAATATAATTGATTAAATTGAGTGAATTCTGTGTATAGCATTTAATATATTGGAAAATGCTGTAATGTTGTTTGATACTAGTGCCCAACAAACCATCATTTCATCGGACGTATTGTCTCCAGGATTTCGCGATTATCTCGAAATCGATCCCGTACACGATCCTTATCGGCTGGAAGGGGGATGTCGGGTGTAGCTTATCGCTAACGTTGAGTTTACGAATACTTACATCCACCTTTGCACTGTTGCTCTGGTCGTTAACAGAAGTACTATCCCAATTCTCGGTCAGGAATAATCTTTGGCCAGAAGGGCTGCCTAGATTCCATCTGTTTTAGGAGCGTGCCAGCAAAATTTTTGCAGGCTCAGGATGATGACGCTTGGGGGGATATAACTGTGGGCAGATACATCGATCCTGATGGGGAAATAGCAATGTGTTAGACCAAGGGAGGTGTCCAAGGAGTGTTCTGGTGGTGTGTGAGGTTTCGCTTTACGTGAAGTGGTCCCCTGTTGCCTGTGTCTGTTTCCCTGTGCCTGGAGCTTCCATTCCCATTCAAGTGATTCCCTGCTGCCTGTTTTCTATGACTGTTACTTCTGAGATGCAATCAAATCCCCAACTGTTGTGTTTGTTTCGTACCCTTGTTACCGAGGTCTGGAGAATTCACGCGTTTCTTTTTCATAGCCAGCCATGTATTTATACCAGCTATCCTGTGGAAAAGCCTTGTTGTCTGTGCGGTTCGAGTCGTATCGTACCCGGCTGGATGCAAGAGTCTCGGTACGGTGTCGACCGGAAGTTGTCACAATGCTGCTACGTTGACGGGCCGTGGCTCGGAGCTGCTGGGCAATTGAACGTATCAGTATCGAACAGACAAGTAACTGATGAATGTGCTAAATGGCCACAATACGGATGCAAGCGATATCAAAGTAAATCGTTAGGGGGTTGAACATACCGTCTTTGGGTGATGGAGCATTGCAATGCTGAAGTCCCAGAGGAGCAGCTGAGACTTTTCCATGCAGGGAAGCATGTGGTCTGGTAGGCTGAACTGTTTCAATTCCCTGTAATCTTATTGCTGATGCCGCCTTGATCATTCTCTCCTTTCCGTGTAGAAAGTCCATTGCTGCTAATCTAATAACGGAGATCTGGCAGAAAGACACAGAAGCCCGATTGGTGTTGAAACTATATTCTTTTGTGAAGTAGATGTTATCATCACTTGGTCTTTTACACATCAGATCGCGGGAGACATCACTGTCTTTGATTTCAGGAGACAGTCCTCCACTGAAGACGAGAGAATGGTGTTAGAGTGAAAAGTGGCATACTGATTGAACCGCACCCCCCCATCTTGCAAGCACTATTAGGGCCTGTTCGGTGATTTTTTCCGTACAGTGCCAGGGCCGTACAGAAAGTGGATATTTAACTTCTGACAGTGGTAACCTTCATTATTGCTATCTTTCCTTATATGAAGAGTAGTCTGCTTGGTGTTTTGGTATTACTTCCTTATGAATGGTTTTTTATGATGATGACTATCATGCCATTCCAGCAGATATATAGCAGTTTGAAAATCCTGTTATATTACTATCTTTACACACCAAATATCAGTGAAAAATGGATATTAATGAGTCTCAAATTGATCACTTCTTCAGCAGCAAGCCTTATTTACTGCTGTCTATGACATAGATACTGTCATATTGCCTTCCAGGTTGCATTATCACAGTCGCTCACCATGGTTGTTGATTTTTGATGATATTTGCAGGTCTCTGGATGCTGTACTCCATACGGCCACACTGGAACATGTCAGCACATATCATTCCAGTGTAGTTACGGAGTATACAGTACAGATTTAACTTGAATAGGTTTAGATCTATCACTTTTTCAACTAAATACACCGTTGAACTCTATAATATGAATCTGACTGTCAGCTTGGCATGCTTGGCGAGTTGTACAGAGTTAAGTTATACACAGAATCTACTGAACAGAAGGCCTTATCCGGCCAGGTTAGTGTGTATAACCCCAGCCAGAGCTGTCCAGGGCCGTACAAGCTGGCACTTATACGGCCCTGGACGGGGTCACCGAACAGGCCTTTACAGGTTAGTGTCAGGTGAATGGTGGACTCTCATTGGTTGGTTAACCCGGCTGGGTACCTGAGCCCGATCGTTGAGAAAACTCTGCGCTGACATCATGTGCCGCGCTTTGATGGTCACCGACATCAAAAATCCCAACCCACGCCCCTCGATTTTCTTTCTTACTATGCCCCCTCTTATAATGCCCCTCTTCCCCGCGCTGCTACGAAATCCAGTTTCTCCTTTCCTAGACTCAGTCCTTCATCCGTCTCAAATAAATGTTTCAACGGCATCACCTATCGAAACTACTAGATATTCAGCCCCGTTGCGCAAGCGCCATTACAAGTACACAAACCATTACCGCCAACCCCAGCCTTCACTCTCGTCATAATTGTCACTCTGGCAAACCCAGCTCAGCCCTAATTTACCCCTGTACAACCAACCAGACAATAAGCCACATGGCCCCTACCGACGTCTCCAAATACCTCAAGCAATCCCACCAGCGCGTCTTCGAAAACAACAGGAAATGGGCAGCGGAAAAAGCCGCGAAAGATCCGCACTTCTTTGAGAAGCTCCAGAATGGCCAGAATCCAGATTATCTATGGATCGGCTGCAGCGACAGCCGCATTCCCGCCGAGCAAATCACGGGGCTAGACCCCGGTGAAGCCTTCATCCATCGCAACATTGCTAATTTGGTCTGCAACACGGATCTGAACGTGATGAGCGTGATCAACTATGCGGTGCGCCACCTCCGCGTCAAACACATCATTGTCTGCGGACATTATGGATGCGGTGGGGTCAAAGCGGCTTTGACCCCCGCGGATCTGGGTCTGCTGAATCCCTGGCTGCGGAATATTCGTGACGTCTACAGGCTCCATGAGACGGAGCTGGATGCGCTTGAAGGGAGCGCACGCTGTGATAGGCTTGTGGAGCTGAATGTGATTGAGCAGTGCCGCAACATCATTAAGACGGCAGCTGTGCAGAAGAGCTTTGAGGAAAACGGGTATCCTATTGTGCATGGTTGGGTGTTTAATTTTAAGGATGGCCTGTTGACGGATCTGAAAATTGATTTCGAGAATGTGCTGGCTGGGATCCAGAAGATTTACAACTTGACGGATGGAAAGTGAGGTATGAAGAAGAAAGGGCTTAGATACCTAGGTAGATAACAACATTATGTACGATTTGGACAAATGATTGTCCATCATCACACTCCAACTCGCTCGCTCTGCCCGTTCCCTTCTTACGATCCGACTAGAAAAGATCCTAGTTATTATATTGAAGGATACGGGCGCGCAACAGACGGATATTCCATAATATCTGTTGATCTGAAAGCGAGTTGGGCTCGGGATATGGAGTGTGAAGTCCAATAAATAGTAGCACTCAGAGTGAAGTTTGTGTTAGTGCGCCAAGAACTCGCGACACTGATGGGGCAAGCTTGAAGCCAATTCCTTTTAAGCTTCAAGCTTGTGCCGATGCCCTCAGTCCGCCACACTCGGCATAGATGCGCGTTTCGCTATTTGAAATAACACATCGATCGTCAGCCTAGAACTAAATGATACCAGGGTTGATCATCCGGGCATCCAGTAGGGCTGATCTAAAATGGGGATGGGTTAAGGTGTAGAGAGATGGCTATTTTCCCGCCCATTCGCTGCACATAAACCCTACGATTCAGCGTCATAGGAGTTATAGGAATGGTGCACGAAACGAATCGGACACGTTTCAACCTAGCAGCCATAATTGCTGAGTAGCCACGGAGAAAAAAAGTTCCCTTTCTTTCGTGGTTTCTCCTCTTCTTGCTCTTCTTTAGTACTTTTTCATTTTTTGTTCTTTCACTGAATGTAATGTATGTACAGTACATTACATTTCTTCTCCTGAGCATGTGTATGTGAGAAGCCGACTGTTGAGTTCTCTTTACTCGAGGGCTTGATCAATATCTAGTCTCCGAGACAATTCGGGCCAGTCAGCTTTCCACGCGTGTCCTGGATTACAAGCTCATCGACGAAGCCCAATCAGGGAACGTAGGATATTTTTAGCGTATTTGTAAGAGCGATTGAGGCGTCTCAAGCCGCAAGCACTGGGACCGTACCATATTAACGTGCAACCGAGCACGCCCTAAGCAACTAGTTATTTGGGAGGGGTAAAATACGTTGTGTGTAACTCTATTCATGAGTTGGGACTCTCTTTTTCTTATACATTTTGGCCAAAGCAATATAAAAGCGCATCAAGTAATCTGCAAAGAGCGAGTCTGTTGCTGTAAACATCCGTACATTACACGAAGAAGTTCAAAGCCACATGGAGATTCAGTCTCCAGCCAAGTCATGTCCATGGGTTCATTTCAATTGCTCCGTTGCATTTTTCGGTTATTAACAAGGAGAGTATAAAAAGCTATGGGAGGCGCAGCAGGGTCAGGAGAATATAACTTGAAATTCAACGGTTTCAGATTGGCGTGGATGAAAACGAAGAACATAGAGTTTTACTCTCCGATCGAGCAATGTTTGTTTTCTCCGTACTATGCTCACCCGTAATATTGTTATCTGGTACACCGTGACCACGGCTCATTTCGTTGTACCTGCCTTCTCACCCTGTTTGGGACTAGTGCAACCCAATTTCGTGGCGCATAATTATTGATCCGAACTAGAACAGGAATAGCGCCCAATTCATTTGCTTGCAAGGTTTCCCATCTGTGCAGTTCAGGCACATTTTGTTCAGATCCAGCCAATCATAGGCCGTGATATCCAGGAACGGAAGCCTTGGAAACTCAGCCGCGACTGACTCAGCAGCGTCTTGCGGGAGGATAGGATAGTTAGCCCCTTTGCAACACTTCTCAGGCAGTGCAATTTCCTCCTACTTCGCTCTTCCTCACCCCCGTCCACTCCTTTACACCAGCAGTATCACTCGCTTTTTCTTTCTTTTTTGTTCGACAAGGGTGTGAGGATATCTAGTTGATGGGGGTTTTGAATCTCGTTTTGTTTCTCATCATACACTCTTTTGAGAAGCATTCCATATTGTATATACCTCATTACTCTCCTTCTTGGATCCCCAAGTCCTTTTCTTGGCTTTGGATTGACGATTCCTACCTCATCTACTTCTATCTTTGTAGGTAGGGCAGTGTCAGTGTCGCTGTTGCTGGAGCGGTGGAGCGATGAGGGCCTCCTCACTGTTCGAGCCAGTGACGGGGAGCGTTGTCTCTTCCCTCTGTCGTTCCGCGTTTTTCGCCCTCTCGCTCCTACCTCCTACGATCTATGCTACCCGATTCACCCCCGTTGCTTTGCCGGATCTTGATATTGGCCCCTTGGGTCGAGTTGCTTTGGCCGGCAGCTTTGATGCCATATCGCTCTTCCAGTATGAGGAACAGAGGCCGAAACCTACCCTGCCTAATGGATCCCGATCCACCCTCCTCACCACGTTACCAAACGGTGCTCTAGCCTCACTCGCCTCGGCCGACGCCGATATATTGTCACTCTGCCCATTGATGGCAGATGATGGCACGATTACTAGTGTCGTTGTTGGAGGGAGCTTCACGAGTTTGAGTGGGATCAAATCTCACGGAATTGCCCTTTTCGACCCAAATGCCAATAAGGTTACACCAATTCCTGGTCTCCCGGGACAGGTCCTCGCCCTACTATGTGATAAGGAAAGTGGAAATGTATATGTTGGGGGAGATTTTAAGAAATCAGAATCCCATAATGCTATTCTGTGGTCGCCAAAATCTGGGTTTTCCCCGCTTCCTTTCGCTGGCTTCAACGGGGTTGTAACGTCTATCACCAAAACTTCGGAAGGCCGCGTTGTATTTGGAGGTTCATTTGACGGCTTGGGAAACATGACAACACCATCTCTGAATGACCAACAAGTTGTGAACCTCGAAACCGCATCAATTACTTCTGGGTCTAGTACAACAAGGGCCGCGTTTAGTGATCCTCGGAATGCAATCTGTAAACAGGCCGGGAAGGAAGGT